AAGCTAAGAAATCCTACAGCTCCTATGCTTATATACCCTGCACACCCTATTTACCCTATATACCCTGTATACCCTAGTATCTAGTATGTATGCCCGACGTACCCTATATGCCTTATGTACCCTAGACCCTGGGCCCTAGACACCCCACACCTTCTATACATATATATATATATATATATATATCGATATAGTATATGTAGATGTGTGTGTGTGTGTGAGAACGTGTGTATATATATATATATATTTATGTGTAATATATGTTCATATACAGATTATGTGTATATGTATATGTCTGTTTATATATATATATATATATCTCTCTCTCTCTATAGTCTGTTCAGGCTTCGTGCAAGCCTCGCCTCCGAGCGAAAGGCCCGTGCCGCTGCCGAGGCTTGGCCAAAGCTCGCCTCGAAGGTTTTGTTTTTTTTGAGGTGGGGGTTTAGGGGTTGAGGGTTTAGGGTTTAGTCCGGGGGGCTTTTGGGGTGGAGAGCTCATCAGAGGGCTTTTTAGAGATGTTTAGGTTTTATGGTCAAGGGGCTGCTGGGCTAGCACATTTCACGCCAAATGCTTTAGTTCAGCCCACGAACATGGGGGCCGTCAGTGCCGGAAGTGTAGGGCAGTGTAGGGTTTAGGGTGGTTGGGGTTTAGGGCTTGCGTAGGGTTAGTGCTAGCAGTTTAGGCATGATAGGGTTTATGGCAAAGTTTGGGGTTTACGGTTTAGCCATTAAATCAGTGTTGAGGGTTTAGTATGTAGGGCGTGTAGCTTTGTAGGATGTAGAGATGCTTTAGACAGCACTAGACGTCTCAAAACCCTAAGCCCTAAACGCCCCAAACCCCAAACAGCACACAGGCCCTGGCCAAATCAGTCGGTGCCGAGCAGGGGCCCTGGTGTCCGAGCAAGAGCTGGGGCTGCAAGGTTAATTCCTTAGGCCCTACAGTATGAACCCATGAGCGCTAAAGCGCCTAAAGCCCTATACGAAGCCCTAACACCCTAAAACCGACAACAAAAACAAGCTCTTCGCAGGTTTTGAGGTCAACCTCCGAACTTCAATTCTGCCGCCCCTCAAACTTCAAGACTTTAGGGTTTGGAGGGTTTAGGGTCCCTATATCAGCCCTAGAGAGCGCATGGGCAGTTCCCTGACTTAGGGGCGGGGCTCCTTCTGAAAAAGGCTGCGTATGAAACCCTGCCGGCCTACGGGGGGCCCCCAAGAAGGATACCTGGGGGGATGGGGTTCACTAGGGTCACCTGGTGCTTAGGGGTTTCGGGGTTTAGGGTTCCTTGTAGCGACCTTCCGGCAAGAAGGAGAAGGGGCCCCAAACCGGCATGTTCGAAGTCCTTGGGAGGCCCCGCGTCGCACGTCCAGGCGCGGAGGATCGCGTGCGGAAGGCCCGCGAGTGGGGAATTGTTTTTGAATTTTGGTTTTGGGTGTAGGGTGTTGCGGGCTTTTTTTTTCAGATGGGATCCGATTATGGAACCTGCCGAAAACGGAGCCTGCAAGCCTTCGCTTACCGGCGGCGCGGGTCCTGTCGTAGGATGTTGGAGGTTTTGTCACCCTAAACCCCAAACCCTAAACCCTAAACCCTAAACCCCAAGCCCTAAACCCTAAACCTTCAAAGGATGCCCCATTTTCTTGGGATGAGGATCCGGGGATCCCATGGAAGCCGTTTATCTCCCAGCCTTCGCGCTGCTCATAGGGTTTAATTAGGGCTTAGGGGTGTAGGGGGTTTAGGGGTTTAGGGTTTAGGGATGTTTTAACCTGGGATGCTCTAGCCCATCTTCCCTGCGGTTGATGTCGAAAAGTTCTGTGACCCCTCTCATCACTAGAATGTTAGCCCTGTATAGCCTGTAGAAACTTATTGTTTTGGGGCCCCCAAATCCACACCAGATCCTTCGACCGCCATGAATTCTATCAAGACAGGAAGAAAGGGAGGGTTTGGCTTCCGACATCTTATGAGGCCCCAGATTTCAAGCACAGTTCATGTGTCTGGCTTTGCATGCCCGGCGCCTTCAACCGTGAGTAGGGCTTAGCTCAGCGTAGTCTGAAGCAGCTGGTGGGCCGATCTTCAAACTTGTCATGCCATGACATGCCTGCCACGAACGCCTGTGTCAATTGCACATACTTAGTATCATAGTCCTTCTACACTTGTATAACATGTCAACAGATGTCGTAGACCCGTCCGACAGCATGGCACGCTGCAGCCGGACAATGTGCGCCGCAGCGGATGCTTTCAGTCAGATCGTGAGTGCTGTGACTGTGAGATGCCGCTTAATAAGGCTTAGTACAGAGTTAGCTTTGGAAAGAGGCTTGTTGGTTTGTTAGGAATATAAGCAGGGAAGTCGATCGATGTCCTTCTGCATCCTGCTGTGAGCTTTGAGCCGTCTCGGCACTGCAGAGCAATACGCAAGAGGACGCAACATGTACGCAAGAGGACGGAGCCTGACGACAGCGGGCTCTTGCATCTTCAGGTCAGTGAGGACTTGTGGACTGCAAAAGGTCAGCCGCAGTCCTGAGCATCCATCGCAGCATCAGCATAAGCAACTCCTGGCGCGGAAGAGCTGTGCGTCAGTGAATCAGTGCTGCTTTAGTTATTCCATATTGATCGGCAGCCGCCATGGAAGCCAAACAGTTCGAGGCGTTGAAGGACTGCAGAGCACGGGGCGTCGTGACCTCTCAACCCTAGCCTTTCTAGAAGGTCCATGGGCAGTTACAAGGAGGGGTAGGAGCTATAAGTACGGAGTGTTGGGTTACTTTACTTGGCCAGAGCTCTGGTCAGCGGTTCGAGCGAAGCCATCCGAAACCCCAAAACAAAGCCCTACGCCCTTTTAAAACCCCGGTAGCCATCCTACCCTAGATCCTGGTGCCCTAGTGGTCTCTCAGGCAGAAATCCTAAACATGCCATGCTGTACACATCCTCAGCTCAAAGCCCCGAAGCCCAAAGTCAACCACAAAAGGCCTACATCCCATCAACCCCAACGATCTAAAGCCCTTCCGGAGGCGCCTGGCTTGCTGGAGTTCGAGGATGTAGGATGGTTTGAGGGTTTAGGGCCCCTCGAATCCTCCCATCCTAACCTATCACGCCTGAATCTCTAAGCCCGCAGTAAGCCAAGCACCCGAAGCATGGATTATGCCCGACATGGATGCCTGCAGGAGACGCTCTGGGACTTCATGAAGACCGAGCTTCTTGTCGGAAGTTGGGTAGAGGGTTTGAGGGGACAAGAGTTCCGCGCTTTCGATGTAGCCTGACAATGATCTACTGTATGTGAGCATCGTATATGATACATGGCGAGAGTTGGGCTACCGTTTTGGGTTGCGGGTCGTGGAGATACTATACAGGAGATTCTTTCAACGAAATGAAACCCAAGCCACCCGCTGCCTCAGGATTTATCCCAACGAGCTGCTTCATATCCAGCAGGCCGGAGGGGTTCCATGAAATGTGGGTGAGCTGCGAGGTGGCGAGTTGGCCACAACCCTGGGACACGATGTGGAGTTTTAGGGTTCAGGGCTGGCTCGAGATTGGGGGAGTGAGAAGAAGCCCCCCCGTCCTAGGGAGATTGGACTTCAGCCTAACACCATGAGACTAGTCAGGGTATGCGAGTGCACGACAGGGCGTGTGCCCTTAACAAAAGCACACGCGTCCCTAACACTGGAAACCCTAAACCCCCAATGCCCCCAAACCCCAAACCCGAAACCCGAAACCCTAAAGCCCTAATACCCCTAATACCCCTAGTACCCCGAATACCCCTAATGCCCCTAAACCCTAAAGCCCTAATACCCCTAATACCCCTAATACCCCTAATACCCCTAATACCCCTAATGCCCCTAATGCCCCTAATGCCCCTAAACCCTGAACCCCTAATACCCCTTATCACCCCAAACCCCAGCAGGTCAAAGAGGTGCGGGCCATGGGCCCAAGCCATTGGAAGCAGCCGCCCATCATCTTCGAGCTGCGGGAGAAGGCGAAGGCGAACCCCCTTGGGAAAGGGTTGAGGGTTTAGGGTTTAGAGTTTAGGCTTTAAGGGTTTAAGGGTTTGGGGCTTAGGGCTTAGGGCTAAGGGTGTAGGGCTTGGGGGGCTTTGGGCTTAGGGCTTGGGGGTTCAGGGCTTCGGGCCTCTAGTCCCTCTGGTTGGTTTTTTGTTGCATGTTGCTGAGTTGGGATCTGCTTTTGGGGCGGGTCGTGTAGAGCACAGTGTAGAAGGGGTTCTCCTCAAGCTGCCTACTTGTTTTTAAGGGTTTTGGGAGAGTTCAACTAAATGAGGACTGGAGGTTTTGCGTGCGGTCTTTTCCTACAGAAATAGGCTCCAGTGGCAACTTCGTGGAAGCAGAATTCGCCTTGTCGCGCTGAGTCTGCTGCTTGGGGTTGTAAAGGAGGACCTCCAGACGAAAGCCATTCAATCCCAAGCCCCTCACTCCTCACCCCTGAACCGAAACCCTGCAGTTCCAGAGTGCCGAGGCAAGGGGCCTATGGTCGGGTGCCCAGCCGAGGGGCGCTGCCACAGGGAAGGTTCAGAATCCAGGGTTGGAATGCAGCAGGTCTTGGGGCTGTTAAGGCTCACGTCGCCCCAAAAGGGCCCTCAAAACCACACACTCCTCAACCTGAAAGCCCCCGAGTGGCCGAGTCATTCCCCCCCTCCTTCCCCCAGGAACCTTTTCCTCCCCGTCGACTCGGCCAAGCTGGCCGGCCGTAGCGGCGGAGGCCTCACGAATCTGCAGCGGCCAAGCTGAAGAGTTTGAGGCTCATGGTTACTGGGGACTGACGTGCTGGGAGCTGTGAAGCTGCAAGAATGGCTGAAGTGTTTTGCAAGCAGTCGAGTAGATGCGGCTCAGGTATGCGGAGTGCTGCGGCCTCAGACGCTTTGAGCTACCAAGGCTTTTAGCACTGTAAGGCCGCAAGGCCTCATTCAGAAAGCCCAGTGGTGCCATTTTCATCCTTTCCATTGTTGGGTTCGGGGATCCGACATCGCAAACCCTAAGCCATAAACCCTCAACCCTTGTTTTGAGGCTGTGAGATCATGGGAACCTCCAACCACGCCGAGTTCGCAGCTGAGGCGACGAGTACATGAACACAGAGACCTACCAAGATCATCCCCAAAAACAAGGGTCATGTTTCGAACTGCCTGAGATACGATTCGAAACAGATCGGCCTCTAAGTTTCCGCTGTTAGGATGATTTTTGCCTGGAGTTAGTGTTGTAGTGAGTGCCAGTGTACAGTCATGCCGCTTTATGCCAACCTCCGTGTGAGCAAGTTCCCATGTCCTCAAGCGAGAGACGATCGTAGAGGAATTTTCTCGAAGCGGCTGTGCCGTCTTGCGGTGAGCCCCTTGGACAGGCGTGCAACTGTGCGAGCCCAGACACCGGGAACATGGAGGCATCTTGACGGAGGGGGCAAGGCGACCATACTTACCCTACGCACTAGGCATGATACAACACAAGATGCTTTTCAACAGCTGCTGGTAGCCCGAGTAGCTCGTCCGTAAAGTGCGATGATTTCTATTGCCCGCATCCCCCCCGACAACCCTCCAAGCCTCCATCACCATCGACGTTGAAGCACAAGGTAACCTGGGACTGCGGTGTAGCCTTTTTCGTGGAATTCAGGCGGAACTGCTCCAAGTCAACCTGATCACCACTCCCAAACCGTCTAAGTCTAGCCCTTCCCGAGACCGGCTCGGTGTGGTTTTGGGTTTAGGGATGGTTGAGGCAGTTTAGGGGCTTAGGGTTTAGGATTCAGGCTGTGCGACCTGGCCTTATGCTAAACTCCAAGACCCTGAAAGCCTCCGACCCCGAAGAGAGTTCTGCTCTCTGCTCTTAAAAAGGTTAGGGCTACGGCTACCGCTCCCTGTTTAGGGTGGCTTGTCAGTTCTGCAGATGCTTACCCAGGGCTGGTTGGTAGAGTTCAGGCAAAGGGGGTTTGGGGCACAAGGAAGAGGTGGAAGCCAACTAAGTACCAAAGGCCTCATAAGGCCTCCTCCCCTGAATCACTGAAGAAGAGGTCCTGGCGCGCTTCGGCACCGAGGAGCAGAAGAAGCAGTGGCTTGCCAACCGCCCAGATTTAAGTGGAGGGCTTTGGCTCCTTGGGGGCACTCTTTTTTAATTGCAGGGGGATTATGAAGAGGTGTACACAGAACAGCACCATTTAGTGGCTTAGCTAGTTTAGGGCTTTTCAGAACTCAGGGGCGTTCGCACTGGGGTTTCATGAACAAGTGCCTCTCGAGAGCATCAGCAGTGAGATCGGGGTCACTCCGACGCATGTGTTTTGCATTTTTGGGGCCAGCTTTGCTGTCCATGAAGAGGAGTCTACGGCTAAGGTTGGAGGTTTCAGAAGCTACAGAAAGGGGTGGCCTTAGGCGCTCTGTTGGCAGGTTCGAGGAATGCCGTGCTGTGTTTCCTGAAAATATTATCATCGTCATCATTAGCGTTATGATCATTATGAGCATTCTTCTTCGTCTTCTTCTTATTCATACGCTGCTTCGTCTTCAAACGTTATTTGCACTACTCAGATTCTTATGATCCTTTTGATCATTGGGAAGGCTGCTTCGGCCAGCTCTGCTCATAAGGAGCCGCTGCTGGATGCAAAGATCCGGTCTTGCTATGCGCGCAGCTGAGCTCTTGAGTCAGAGTTGGCAGCGGGTTTTGGCTTTGGGGGCCCATGAGGGACCCAGCCAGAAACCCTCGGAAACCATGCAGGTGGCCTTTCTGAATCGTGAGCCCTAAGCAGTGCAGAAGATGCTGCCTGGAGCACGCGAACGCTCCCGTGGATGTTTCGGCACCGTCTGAGCGCGCAAGGCTATGACAGAGCCAGCAGTGGCCAGCAGCGATGCCACGAACATCAGGACTGAATCGAGCGCAATCTCCGCCTGATAGCTCGGCACACACTGGCCCCGTAAGACTCGTTTTCCACCTCACGTTGATCTGCCGTAGTTGGGAGTTTCCTTAGGATGGCGGTTGTCGGCTTGTCACTCCGAGGGTTTTGGGTTCCAAAAGCGTGAGGCCATGTTGGAAGCATTGCACTCTTGCAGTGTTGGCCACTCGGAATCAGGAACAAAGACGGTGCGGGGCGGAATCTGAAACTCGATAAGGGTGATGTGTGGGCAGGGTCCATGGGACTGGTCCGGCTTCGGGGGAAACACTGGTGGGTGTCTTGGTTCGACCACTTGGAGTTTTCAGCACCTCTGTTTGCAGGACCATGATCATGCGTGACGGCGACCACTGGGTGATCAATGGCCTCGTTCTCAGCAACCGGCTACCACGTGTGCCACTTGTGCATTCATCTTCTGCGGCTGTGGCCACGAGTAATGCAGCTTGTTCAAGCTATTCAACTGCCCCTGCTGGACCACGATCTCAATTTTAAGTTGACCATTGGAGAAGGCTTGATGATTGCAGTGGCGTCGCCTCAAAGCATCATTCCCTCCCCTCCCTCCCTTTTTCCTTACTCTCGCTCTCGTGCCCAGCCGAGGCAGGAAGCACTGGATCACTGGGGCCGGGATGCTCGACAGCACAGCTGAAGAAAACTCTGGGTCTACTGAGTTTCGTATTGATTCTTCCAGTAAAGATGACTTGCACATGACTCATGTGGCCCCAGTAGGCCTAGCAGTGCACAGACTATCACTTTTGGAAGCTGCGCATGCCATGGCAGCTTGAGGAACGTCGACTGCAAGATCATGATTCTTATGGGCAGGACCGGCAGAAGCATGCTCACGCAAGAACAACCCCCAAAGACTAAGAGGCACATCAGCATAACATACCCAATGCTTACGAAAAATGCACATCCTTCATCCATTTACAAACATACCAGAAAGGGAGGTCTTTTTGTCCGGTCGGCCGCGGGCCGGCGAGAGAGCGAGAGAGAGAGAGAGAGAGCGGGCCAGCGTGGCCGGGGTTTCCCTCCGGGGGGCCTCTTCGTTGGGCAGCAGAAGAAGAAGAAGAAGAAGAAGAAGAAGAAGAAGAAGAAGAAAAAGAATAATAAGAAGAAGAGAGAAACGAGAGAGATAGAGAGAGAAGAGAGAGAGAACAGAGAGAAAGAGAGAGAGAGAGAGGGAGAGAGATATAGCGAGGCAACAGACGCAAGACCTTGGACTCTTGCGCCCTCCGGGGCGGCTCCCCTCTGGGGGACCTAGCGATTGGAGACAGAGAGAGAGATAGAGAGATGGATAGATAGAGAGAGGAGAGAGAGGGAGAGCAGAGAAACAGAGAGAGAGAGAGAGAGAGAGACAGAGAACCAAAACAGAGAAAGAGAGAAGAACGAGAAAGAGAGAGAGAGAGAGAGATAAAAACGAGAGAGAGAGAGAGAGAGAGAGAGAGCGGGGGGTGACCCCCCCATGCCCCAAGAAGAAAGAAAGGGAGGGAGGGAGGAAGGGAGGGGGATTGGGATATGCTTGTGTAGTCACCGTGTGTTCCTCACAGTCGGGGCGTGTGAGCGCTGCGGCTGCGGCCCCCCCACGATAGAAGTAGCAGCAGAAAGCGCAGCGTGCCACGCGCAGCGACCCGAATCCTCACAACCTGACTCCCCCACGACTCTAAGCTCAACCGTCAAGACGGACTCAATTTTTGGGCCACAGCTTCTTTGAGGTCTAGGGCTTCGGGCACTCCTCCACACCAATGAGCCCTAGAAGGACTGGGACGGCAGAGTCAGCCACCTACCGGTCTCAGTCGCAGATCCTGGTGCCCATGGCCGGAGACTCAGGACATGGGGGCTTGCGCAAATAAGGGCCCCTTGAAGACCCAAAACAGTAGGATTCCCTTATGAGAATAAGGACCCCAATAAGGAACCCCTCATTTCCATAGGTCCTTGGGGCTTCAAAAGGTTGAGAGTTTTAGGGCCAGGGTGTGCAAGGTTGTTGAGGGTTTTAAGATTTGGGGGCTTGGGGTTTCAGATTTTAGGCTTCAGGAATTTTGGGGCTTCGAGTTCGGAGTTCAGGTTTTGGGGATGGATGCATGGTTTTCGACTTTAAGGCTTGAGGTGTTAGGGCTGTGAGGGTTCATGGTTCAAGGAATCTTGGGATGTTTCAAGCTGGGAGTGTTGGCTTCAGCCCGACCGAGTGGCCTTTGTTTTTGTCCAGCCAGCATGCCGGAGCACCTGTCTCTTGAACAGCCTTGAGGTTGAGCCTCATGCCAGAACCCGAAGCCTCGACAGCCTTCTCTGGGCGCATCGAGTCGAAGGAAGAAGATGTGGGCTTCCTAGAAGCAGCGCTGACACATGCACCCGGCATGCCTCTGGTGCTCGACGTTGGCTCCGGATCCGACTGCCAAGCCGCACGTTGGCTGCAAGGGCGGAGGGCTTCCTTCCTGTGCTGCGTCGACATCAGCCCAGAGTCCCTAAAACTGGCGAGGGCCCGAGCCAAGTTGGACCTCTTGAGGGCCGATTTCGGGCAGCTTGGAGCCATCTTTCGGCCCGATGTCTTCGACCTGGTGTCGTGCTTCTACTCCTTGCAGCATGCATCTGCGCCCTTTGCCGTTGCCCAGGAGCCTAGGGCCTAGGACGACTGCCTTGTGTCACTTGTGTCTCTCTGTGCGTTTTTCCCTTGAGGGTTAGGTCCCATCATCATGCCCTCTCCCAAAAGCCAACGACAGGCTTTCCTTGTGTCACACAGAGGAGATGGTTTCGGTTACGGCGCCCGGCTGCCCCATAGCCGTGGCTGCCTTGGCAGACGCGGCGCCGGGTCCCGGATCTGGAATTCCGCGCCCAAGGCTCCCGGAGCCCCTCAGGCAGCGCCTAGGATGAGTGGCGGTTTGTTTTGTTTTGGGGGCAGGGGGTTTAGATTCGCGTAAAAAGCCTCTTCAGAACTCCGGTTAAGAGAGGGCATCCTAAACATGTTTTTCGTTCGCTCCTGGGTGCCTTGGGGGTCTAGGTGCTACAAGAGCTTCTTGCCACCTTCAAAGCTAAGTGAAAGCTTTCAAAGCTGCGGCTGCCACTTGGAAGCGTCGTGGGTGCGCAGCCACGTCTACCAAGACGCCAACGAGTTTCCCTGCTGTCGTGAGTACACGTTGGTGACAGCCAGGAAGCCGGACAAAAAGCGCAGGCTTGATCGCATTTCCTGAAGTTTGCCTTTCGGCCGCAAGGGGCTGCCAGCTGCTACTGCACGCGGCGAAGGTAGCAGTTGAGCCTTTGCATTCAGAAGCTTGCGGCTGCCTGACGAGTCGGCACAGCAATGAGTGGATGCGCGCAGAGAGCATGAACACCCCACCGGGGTGCCGTCAAAGTTTGCTGAATGTGATCGCCTTCCAATGCCGCGGGCAGCTCTGTCACGCGAGCCTTTCGGTGGTTTTGTAGACGCTCTTGCTGCATCGTAGGGCACTTCCCGGGTGCCTGCGCTGCTCGTCGGCCACAGTGTCGGCGCGCTTGAGCTTTTAAGTCTGGTCCGGTCTGGGCTGTGGGATGTTGCACACCTCTCGGCTTTCGTTCTGATGTTGCTCAGCTGTCCAGCGCTGGCTGGCGGAAGAGAGGGAGCAAGCAGCTGCTGTCATGGTCACCATATTCATTGCCTGCCATCGTAGTTTGTCATCGTATGCGGGGGGGTACATCCCTGCAAACAAAGACAAAAGGTCACTGTCATGCGATCCGCCCAGGACACGCCTGGCATCACACTCGTGCGCCCAATGGAGACATTTGGTGACGATGACTGCCCCAAAGGGCACATGGAGATCTTGTTTGAGGCCCGGACAGAACTTCACGGGGCCCTAACGAACGTAACTGAAGTACAGGAGCTGCATAATTAGCCTTTGGTACCCTGTATTAGCTCTACATAAGCCTGTAAAGGGATTCCATGGGCCCTCTAATTATCAACCTTATAGTGCCCTAAACCCTAAACTTTACAGGGGCTCCTAATCGCGGGCACCGAATTCCCCACTCAGATCCGGCACGAAGCTCCTACAAAGCTGCACAGGATGTCCGTGTGCCCGCCAGCAACATGCTTTGGGGCGAGGCGCCGGTGTGGTTGACAGGGCTTTTTGCAGGGCTTATGGGGTTTACTTAAGGCTAATCTTCTTCTATCGGGTTTTCATAGGGTTTGATACAGGGTGTAGGGGGCTGGATTTCGGGAGGGCCGGTAAGCCAGGGGCTGAGAGGCTGAGGGCTTGCGGGTTTAGGGGTCTTTTGGGGCATGTGGGCCTTAGGCTTTATCAGGTTCTTTGGGGGTTATGGCAAAAATGCGCATCTCTCGGAATGCCGGCCTTCCAGAAATGATACCCCAATGGCTCTGTGCTGGTCGCCCGGACGTTGCAACGGGGGGTGGGGGAGGGGGGGGGGCGGCAGGGGTCTCTTTAACTCTACATCCCCAACGCGCTGGCCTGAGTGGGCGTGCAGCGTGCAGGGCCGCGGCTTTGAGATTGCCCAGCTCCGACTCGGTCCTGGCCGTGACTCGACTCAATATTGATAATCTTCATTGCTTTAAGAATCAGTATTTGCACTGTTGTCTTATCCTTAGTGTAGTATTGCCATTAATTTTAACGCTACGCGACCCGCCTCGGCCCGGCCCAGCGCATCCGCGTGAGCATGGTGATTCCGCAGTGCCCAAGGCGCTGGACCCCAAGCAATAAGGGTTGGGTTTAGGGTTTAGGGTTCCGGGTTTAGGGCTACCACAGGAGCCCTGAAGCAAAAAGGGTTCCGGGTTTATGGTTTATGGTTTATGGTTTATGGTTTGGGGTTTAGGGTTGAGGGTTAGTTTAGGATTGAGGGCTTCGGGCTTATAAGGTTTAAGGTTTAAGGTTTAGGGTTTAGGTTCAAGCTTAGATTCTTCTGCTCGTGTAATGCATCCCCGGCCGTGCTCACACCAGTTGAGTCTAAAACCCGCTCACCAATATTCTGTGGGGGCTGTGGGGGGCGGGGGGGGGGTGAGGGGGGGGAGGGGTGGGCGGGGGGGTAGGGGGGGTACTCATTTGAGGCAAAAGAAGGGGTCCGAAAAGTGGCTTTGAGGGGGTGCCTGTTCCGCGACTGCAGGCCGAGTACGCCCGAGTCGCCCGAGTACGCCCGAGTACGCCCGAGTACGCCCGAGTACGCCCGAGTACGCCCGAGTACGCCCGAGTACGTGCGAGTACGCGCGAGTACGTCCGAGTACGCCCGAGTACGCCCGAGTACGCCCGAGTACGCCCGAGTACGCCCGAGTACGCCCGAGTACGCCCGAGTACGCCCGAGTACGCCCGAGTACGTCCGAGTACGCCCGAGTACGCCCGAGTACGCCCGAGTACGCCCGAGTACGCCCGAGTCATACCCGGTCATACCCGGTCATACCCGGTCATACCCGGTCATACCCGGTCATACCCGGTCATACCCGGTCATACCCGGGCATGCCCGGGCATACCCGGTCATACCCGGTCATACCCGGTCATACCCGGTCATACCTGGTCATACCCGGTCATACCCGGGCATACCCGGTCATACCCGGTCATACCCGGGCATACCCGGGCATACCCGGTCATACCCGGGCATACCCGGTCATACCCGGGCATACCCGGTCATACCCGGGCATACCCGGGCATACCCGGTCATACCCGGTCATACCCGGTCATACCCGGGCATACCCGGTCATACCCGGGCATACCCGGGCATACCCGGTCATACCCGGGCATACCCGGTCATACCCGGTCATACCCGGTCATACCCGGTCATACCGTCCCGTGGTTTTCCGCAGTCGCGGTTTCCCGTCACAGTGATTAATATCATTGCTATCATTATTATCACCATTATCATTATTATCATCATGATCATTATCATTCCTATGCGAATCATTATCATTATCATGGTTTTCATTCTTACCATGAGTTATTCTCGTTACTCTCATTATTCTCATGATTACCAGTATTGTCAGTATTATACGTATTATCATTATTATCACTATGACCATAATGATCATACCGGTTCTGCTTATAATTCTGATGATTATTATGGATTATGGAGGACCCTCAGCCCTATTAACCACCTACACCCCTGCTGCAGGGGATTTTTGCTTGAGGGCTTTAGGTGTAGTAACTGCTAAGGTTTGCAGGCCTTCATATGTTTTCGGGGAGATTGACTACACATGCCTGGATCACCATTTGCCCATTGTCTGGGGGCTTTGCGCTGTCACGCAAGGTATTCATCACTGCATGCGGATGATTGGGCAGGCCGCTTTGTGGGCAGGGGCGGGCAGTGACCATCGTGTACACACACACACACAAAACACGCTGATGGCCCCCCCTCCCCCCCCCCCCCCCTCCCCCCCCCCCCCTCCCCCCTCCCTCCACTCCCTCCCCCCCACCCCGGTGTTTACGGATCCCATTGGAGAATACTTGCCTTTTACCGGCGTCAATCCCAAAACCTTAAAGACCCCTGTAGGGGACCTAAAGCCGGGACACCAAACCTAAACAAACCTGAAGCCTCAGGTCACGTAGGGGGGATCAGGGGCCCTTTTTCACACAGTAGACCATTCACACAGTAGACCATTTTCAACACATACCCTTTGTGGCAGTATCTATATGCACTTCCCCACCCCCCCTTGTAGGCACTAGCAAGTTGTCGAAGGCCGAGCGGGCGCTAAGCCACATGTGCCGCGCGGACCTTACAGTCCGACTCCACCCCGAGCCCTAAACTGTAAGACCCCAGAATCCTGCAATTGTCAACTGTGGATCCCTTAGAAGCTGAACATCACGAAAGAGTGTTTGCGCGCAATCTGCTGCAGCATTCTGAAATTGATGGCATGATGCTCGGGGGCTGGCGTGAAATTAAGTGGAGTCGCTTCTTCTGGAATGATGCCCCCTGAGGTCGTGCAACTGCACGCACGGCCTTCGGCCAAAAATTGGCCGAGATGGGCTCGGTGGTTGCGGACCCGGTTGCTGTTTTTGCTGTTTTTCTTGGCTCACAAAAACCTCCCAAACTCCCCCCCCCCCCCCCCCCAAAGCCCTCAAGTTCTGATTCTTGAAACTCCGGGCCTCCATCCCTGAGCTTCTGATCCCTTATGTGACCCTGGAGTCCTGAATGCTGAATAACTGGGTTACTGGCCAATTGATTCGCTTCTACTTGCCCTTGTAGGTGCCTTGCTGCCTTCCTCCCCGCCCCCCCGTCGCGCGGCTTGGGATGCGCGGTCGCCACGCTCAGGTGCAGCAGATTGCTGAGTGCCGTTCCGAGATCGACCAGGCTCCTGAGGGGGGCTGCCAAGCTGGGTCCCTCTCCTCGTTACTGTCGTTCACCGACCAAGTTCAAGATTAGATGTATGGGGATGGCCGGATGTCCACAGCAAGGATACGTTCGGTCAGGACAAGGGTGGCAATGCGGCAACATGCTGCCGCGCATTGTTGTGCAGCGGTGGAAGGTATTCACGTGTGTTCGCGATGTTTCCGCAGCTGCATACTGCCCAAAACTATTCGCCGCCCGCTTGCGGAAGCAAAGATGGCAGATCCCATTACGCTTTCCTGCCTTGCCTTGACGGGTCTGAGCTTTGCAATTAGCAAGCCCCTCGAACTGCCATCAGCTGTTTTGAGCGTTCAAGGCGTTTGTCTGATAGTTTGTTGTACCACATCTTGCAGTGCCATTCCGTATGAGGTTGGGCGTGAAAATCGGGAAAGACACTTGGCATGCCTTGAAGTGCCTGAACATAAATGCCATCAAGAACACCGAAGCGATCAGCAAGTACTTGAACGAGAACTTCGACAAGGACAAGAACGGTTGCCTCAGCCCTGAGGAAATCCAAGATGCTCTTGGGATGATGAAGGAAAAGTTGCCCACGTTGAAGACCCCGGAAGAGCGATCGCAAGCCGCCTACGTGATCAGCCTCCTCATCTATTCGGAGACCGTGACTTTGGAGCTCAAGCAGGGGAATCAGAAGAGGATGCTGGAGCGCCTCAAGGCGAGCATCCCCGCTTATGCCAACTACGAGGGCCCGTGGGGGGAACAAGTGGGCACATCGTTGATCGTGCTGTCCTTCATCTGCGCCAAGAATCACTCCAGGCTCGTTGATGCGCTTGAGAAGAACGTGGCCGGCGAGGTGGAAGACTGGACCTTTGATAAGCTTGCCCCCGATTCCATCGAGCCACTCCAGGCAATCCTCCAAGAGGTGCTGGGCTGTACAGACCTTGCTGGCATCGTTATGAATGTAGTGATGGGTCTTCTCTGACGATCTGAATGCTTCGACCTTGATGTGTCTGGAGCCTTTTTTCACCATTGGTCGGTGACAAGAGCCCCGCTTTCGCCGTTCTCCTTTTGAGACGTGATGGGGCTCGTAGTCGCATGTACTCGAAACCTTGCGTGCAACAAGCCGTGCTTCGGTACCCGGTAGACTTCCATTGCTCCTTTGTTGAGACTCAGGTGTTCAAGTCATGGCAGTTTCTGCAGTACTTGTACGACATGATTTACGCGGGTTGGAATCAAAACAGAGAAAGATGTGAAGAGAGTGAAGTGAACGCGTGCACGCATGAATAATTATAAGTGCACAAGTTAACAAGATTATGAAAGTAAATAGCTGGTTTCGTTCACTTGCTCTCTTCGTTCACGCACTCTCTTCTCCCTTAATATTAGCAATTGGTATTAAAATTTCCCGGGCAATAGGAAATGCACTAAACAAGCGCGGGATGACACTATTTTATTGTGTGAGTGAGAGCGAACACGCACTTGCAATATCTGAATAGTCGTTTATGTAAAGATTTTGGTATTTTCTAGTTTACTGCGCATCCGCGTTCGCGAGCCACTATTAACAATATCTTTACAGGATTTGAAAGTTAGCTCGAAGATTCAGAGCTTTCACCAAGCAGTTAGACAGTTAGACATGCATGGCTTACCCACGCCGCAGAGATGTGTCTTGGTTAAGAGTGGCAAGACCCGTGCAGAGCAAGATGGGGGGCAAGGGTCCGTGCGCACCACTTAGTTCACTATAGCGGAGGGCTCCATCCCTACTGTACCACTATGCCCCCCGAAAGAAAGAAAGGGTTGAGGAAGGTCGCTTCCCCAGAGATGAATTGAACAGGGGAACGCAGTCGCGAGCCACGAGTTCTGATCATCGTCATGAAGACCTCTGCGACCTGAGTATCACACTGGAGTCAGTGGACGTTCCTTCCAGACTTCCAGTGACTTGCAGGCTTGCCCTGCAAGCCCTGAGCCCTGAACCCTAAAGCCTAAAGCCCTACAAACCCTAAAACCCTGAGCCCCTAAAGCCCCTGAAGGCTCAAACGGTCCTGCTTGAGTGCTCATCCCAGGCGCGGCTGTTGGTGAGAGAGGCCGCAGACCGGATGGACAGGCCGTGCGTGACATTCTACTATCGTTCCCGATTCACAGCCTGTCGCTTCCTGGAGCGGCAAACATAGACACAGATACAACTATACTATAAGCAATCAGAAGACGTACAAGAATAATATGTGCAACCATGAGTATGATCTTACCAAACATTCGATTCTCGAGCAGAAGGCTCGGCAACCGGGATCACTACACCCGCAAGCTATTGAGTCGGTGGCTCGGATCGTGGTGCAGGGGATCGCAGTTTCGTGTCAAAGTAGGGGGTTTACTGCCAGGGAGGAGGGAGGGTCGTCAGGCTACACCCCCCCCCCTAATAAGCCGCCCCAAAGCCCGAACTCTAAACCACTACGTAAACTAGAACACTCTGCCTTTGAACCCAGTAGACCACCCACTTTGCGCTGCAGTTTCCTGGTTTATGAGGACCAAGTCCATGGCTCGTAAGTAAAATCACTGAAAGTCAACTACCGTTCAGAATCCCTGAACCACTCCTGATTGCCACTCCTGATTACTACCCCCCCCCCCCCCACAAGCAAAGAAAAGCCCCCCCAGAAAATGAAACCAAAAACAAAAAAGGGTGCCGGAAGTGGCTAAAAAGTACTTGAGGCCTGGTCAAGGCTGTCGTGCCCGCTATGCTGCGCGCTCAGCCTCGCCTACAGGGTTTCATTTCTGTTTTTGTTGGGGGCGGGGGGGCGGGGGTTTGAGTGGTTCGAGGGGCAGCTGAGTGTTTTTAGGGTTTCGTTGTTTTTGGGATGTAGGGTTTGGGGCTTGAGGGTTTTAGCCTTTCTCAGTTTAGAGTTTAGAGGCATTGGGGAGTCCTGATGATGGCGTGGGTCTAACTATGGATGACCAGCGTATGGGGGGGTGCCTAAACCCGAACAATCCTAACATTCAACAGCCCTAAACCACATACCAGTTCCAGGGACCAAGAAGACCCAACCGGAACCCCCCAAAACACAGTCTCCTCATGCACCCCGACGTGAACTGAGGGCTGGTGTAGGATGAGGGTTGATGAATGGGTTGCAGGTCTTGGGTGTACATAGGATGAAGGGTCATACAGTTTAGGGTTTAGGGGTTAGGGTTTAGGGGTTTGGGGTTTGGGGTTTGGGGTTTGGGGTTCGGGGGGGGACCGCGGAGGACGCAGCGCGTGGTGGACCGAGCTATGCAACTTCACGGCGGCCTAGGAGGCCGGCAGTCGAGTGCCGGCTTCTGGGGGTTTAGGGTTTAGGGTTGAGGGTTCAGGGTTCAGGGTTCAGGGTTTAGGGTTTAGGGTTTAGGGTTTAGGGTCTCCCCTCTGTACTGCAGGCTCCCAAGATAGCTGCCTGCCTGCTGCCTTCGTTGCGCCGCGCGCTCGGGGCTGTCGGCTATTCGAGTCTTATGATGCGGAGGGCCCCTAAACCCTAAACCCTAAACCCTAAACCCTAAACCCTAAACCCTAAACCCTAAACCCTAAACCCTAAACCCTAAACCCTAAACCCTAAACCCTCAACCCTAAACCCTAAACCCTAAACCCTAAACCCTAAACCGGCATAGGGCCTAGGACCGCGCAGGGAAGTATTGAAAGTCAAGGAATTCAGGCTCGGTTCCTTGTGGGGCGGGATCTGTCGGGCGTGTCGTTCCGGGTAAGAGGTGAGTCCCGTCCTCAAGCCCGATGGCTGAAAACCCCGCTTGAAGGATCATCGGTAGGTACTTGGAGGTTCATGGGTAGCTATAAGTAGGGTTACAAGTACCCTACATAAGGTTGTAACCTGTTCGAAGCATATTTACCCTACTTGCAACCCCACTTGTAGCTATCCCTGAACCTCCAAGTATAAGCAGAGCCACAAGCACCCCAGATAAGCTCCTGCCAGCTACAGGATATAGCCAGACCCACCCACATCCCCCAGTCTTCACAACCGGCTTCATGAGCCGTCACTCCCTTTCTTGAGAGGTTTATTTGTTGGTTGCTGGTTTCCCTATCGAATCTATTGTGGGACCCTTGGACTTCGGACCCTCCCAAGAAGCCCCAGGGCCCGGAATCCCTCCCAAGAAGCCCCAGGGCCCGGAACCTGCGCTGGGCGGATGGCCCAGACGAGGCAGCCCGAGGGGCGCTTAGGTTTTTTTTGTTTTTTGTTTTAAGGGTTTGAGGGTTTTGTGGCTTGGGGTTTCTACGGTTCTTTAGAATAGGGTTTAGGGTTTTTGTTCGGGCTTTTGGAGTTTAGGGCTGCAAGGGTTTATGGCGCTCAGAGGCTGGCTACGCTGAGCAGGCGGCCACGACTCAGGTACAGGAGTATGTTATGAGTTGTTGAGCTACGTCGATAAAGACTCTTCCTGTGCTCAAGGCCAGCATCGAGCAGTCGACAGCCTTTTGTTTTTTAGGGTTTAGTGTTTAGTGTTTAGGGTTCAGGGTTTAGGGTAAATAGCCAAGGGTCACAAAACTTAAGTTCGAAGGCTCAGGAAGTTGGCCTGTGGGGCTGACGTGGAAAGAGGTTTTACCTTCGAAGTCCAAGTTTTACGGGGACCCCCCCCAACCCTAAACATCAAATCCTCAACCCCAAGCCCTACGACCCAGCCAGATTGAGGGAAACCTCGGGATGTTCCCCCCTATACTAACAGTCCTGAATAGGGATCATGGTAAACCCGGTTATTATCCCTAATAAGGACTGTTAGTATAAGGGGGATTGTTAAGGGAAACCCTAAGCCCCCCTAAACCCTAAACCCTAAACCTATTTTAAACCCTAAACCCTAAACCCTGAACCCTGAACCCTGAACCCTGAACCCTAAACCCTAAACCCTAAACCCACCCAGGCTTAAGGGTCCAAGCCCAAGGTGCACTGGCGCACAGCGGGCAGGCTGGAGCTGTCGTACCAGAGGACTGCGCACCATGCTACCACGATTTGCGTAGGAACTGAAGAACCCCAATATAGTATATGATAGTTATAATCCCTATATTGCCCTTAGTGCAGTATCTTAAGAACTTAAGAACCCCAATATATTATATGATAGTTGTAATCCCCATAAATATTGCCCTTAGAAGAGTATCTTAAGAACTTAAGAACCCCAATATATTATTTGACATTTATAATTTGTAATCCCTACATTGCCCTTAGAAGAATATTGTTTTTATTGGTTGGGGGGGTTTCTTACGCTAGCAAATATAGTGTGATGTCTTTGTTATGGAGACTTGACGTTCCTTAGCGAGAGCCCAGTTCCGTCTCCAGGAAAGAGTCACCGCTCTTCCAGATCGAGCTCTACGAGCACGACAAGCGAAAGCCCTTTAGGGCGAAGCTGTGAAAAGCTCTGACCCTCAGTGGCTGCTCACCCTAAACCCTAAACCCTGAACCCTAAACCCGAAACCGTGGTAACTTTCGGGTTTCTTGGGTGTAGCTTCCTCCCGCGGCTGGGACTCCGCCTGCGCAAGAGAAGGAGCATGGGCTATTAGGCCTTCCAATCTCGAACCATAGCCCGCCCATGTAGGGGGAAAGGCCAAGTGAAATCTGAAGTCATCCGACGATATTCGCCACAGTGGGTCAGTGCGCAGGCCTGCTCGGAGTCGTTTGGGCATCGAGCCTGTCCGAGCGTGGACCCTCGCCCAAATTTTAGTAGTTCCTTTTGCGCGCAAGGGCGCGCGGGTGGGCGAGGCGCAAGACGTCCGAGCGGCAGCTCCGCAGAAGGTCTATGGTGTACCACAACCCCCACCCCCCAACCCCTCTATATCCGCGAGGCCAGCAAAACCAAGGATTTAGCAATGTCGTCAGTCCTTGGTTTACATGGGGTTACCGCGCAAGGAATGGCAGAGATTGACCTCCTACTGCAAAGCTGAGCAAAAGCAGCGCTGGCCTTCAGCTTGTTCCATGCTTGAAATATTACACCCTCAGCTCCTACTGAATGTGGGGTGGAGCCTTGCTGGCAGACAAAGCCTGACAAAGCGCTGAAGTGATGGCGCCGTTTCCGGTCAGCACCGCAACAAGTTGTTCAGAAATCATCCGCCTGGTGCCCCAGGTACCAACATCCGCCCATCATGGGCAGCGGTCTGAGGTGCACGCCCTTCCTCTCGGTGCAGCTGCAAGGTGTCAGCACGGATTCTAATCGTAGGCAGAGACTTAGGCCTCATCCAGAGCCCATGCACGCACACGCATGGATCACGAGCAAGAGAGAGCGAGAAGAGAGAGAAGGAGAGAAGGGTTGCGTCCACTCAAGCCCCATGAAATAAGGAAAGAAACAGAGCCGCCCTCCGGGGCGGCTGGTCAAGTGCACAAGAAGGAAGGAAGCAAGGAAGGAAGAAGGGGAGAGAGAGCGTGTGCGCGCAGCTCCATGCAGAGGGGGCGAACTGGGCTTTGACATGCGCAGCAGCTCAGCTCAGGATGGAGGGTGGAAATTGGATGTACAGTGTAGAGTGTAGAGCACTTCTCGACTTTTCTGTGTATCCAGAACTGGTGGCTAATGCATCTTTCATGGAGGATCGGTCAGGAAACGGAAGAACCATGATTTACTGCAACCGTTATATGCCGGCTTCCCCCGCTACCGACATGGCTGCCCCAGCCGAGCGCTTCCTTCAGCTCTACATCTTTGAGAAGGCACATGGGTTCACGTTGATGGCACAGGTGGGCTTGTTTCCATCGTCACCCTTTGCGTTGCCTTCGCTCCGGTAGACTCCGAGGCGCCCCGGTGTCTTCCACCCTACGTGGACCTCCGGAACCTGCACGGTGATGGCCTCGTTCGAGCCGTCCGCCGGGCGGCGCTGCACCCCTGGCGCGACGCGCGCTTCTGGCGCCGCGCGGCGGAGCACGTGTCGACGATGGAGCCTGGAAAGCTGCCGGGTCGAGACTTGGCGCAGGTTTGCTTGGCCTTCCGAAAGGTGGACTTCCCCAGCGTCCTGCTGTCACAGTACTGCCAGCAATATTTGCAAACCAACTACCAAAACCTCAATACCTTCGAGCTTGCCGCCGCTCTGAACTACTTCTGTTTCGCGGGCGCTGGCCTGGCAGGCGGACTGGATCCCAGTAGCAATCACTATAAAATTCCCGATCTGCTCCTGATAATTTGCACACTCGACCCGGGAGTGGGGGTAGGGAATGGTGAGTTATGTTTTTTTAGGGTTTGGGGCTCCGTGACATCTCAGATCATCTCGCATCTTCCGCAGGTGGTGACGACTTCATCCGTGCTGCAGCGGACGAGGCAATGCGGCCAGTTGGAAGTCTGGAGACACCCCTGGCCTCAATCCCAAACCCTTTGACGTCCATGCCGAGGCCGTGAACGACTGGCGATTAAGGGAGACGGTGCCATGGTCTGCCTGGCGGCCGCTGGGCCAGCAGTTTTTTAGGAAGTTTACGGACTCTAGGGTTCAGGTTTTAGGGTTGGGGCTATCCTGGGTCTACAAGGCAGGTTTCGCCAAGTTGCATAGTGGTTGAGGAAGGGGGACAGGCTTCCAGAGGGCTGCTTCCCTACGCTCTGCAACACCCAAGAACCCCCTCCCCCCCAAGGTGTCCTGCAAACCCTAAACCCAAAACAAGGATGCTCGTCACTGCAGCAGCAGAGGCCACGCCCATCCAGGGGCCCTTGGGGGGTTTGGGGATTTGGGGTACAAGACATGCGCCCGTACGGTGGGGCATCGAAGCGGTTGACGCTTAGTTTCGACCTTTGAAGCCCTCCCCAAAGTCCTCACCCCGAAAATTCCCCGCCCCCAGACTTTCAACCCCTGGTCGTTCCGAGTGGCCGCAACCAGAGTAACCTTTTTAAAACCTGAATAGAAAGGGGGACATGCCTGAAGTATTGTGACGTTTGGTATGTGGATCCTTCGTTTGGAAGGTGAAGAGCTAGGCAGACCTGAAATCTTGGGAGGCCGGGATAGACCACCAGCGCCTCTTTGGCACAGCGGCGCCCCACCTGGCCCGCAACGCAGCTCGGCGGCAGAGGACGACTGGAGCTGTGGTCACAGCTACTTTGCCAAATACTTCAATAGCTCTACAGAAGCGCTGACATAATATGTATATATGATATATGTATATGAATCCATACATTCTTGCATACTGAAACGTGTGCTAAGTAGAATATTTACATGCGTACTGAATGTATACATTCGTACTCCACGTGTAGCTGTGCGCGCGTGAGGACAGGTTGCAACTGCGCATGCAGACTTGGGAGACACGCTTCTTTGCGCAGCTTGCGTGTATGTCTATATGTTCATATATTCATGTATATATATACACACGGTTAGTTAGGCCTGAATATGGATGGGGTCTAGCCGGGTTCTACGCTTGAGGAGATTGGGTTGTTGCGATTGCCGAGGACCCGCGGTTCCATTGTCAGACAAAAAACAAGAGTTCCATACTGGCTTAGGAGGAAGTTATTCTTTTTTTTGGGGGGGGGCCCTTTGGGGGGTCCTCAACAGATGTACGTACTTTAGGAGCGACTTACCCTCCGGTATGTGCTCAGAGCCCTTGGGCAATCTGTCCTGCTGTTCCAGGTGAAGTTCATGAGTGGGAAGGACGTTGTGGACGTGTGGCTTGACAGATCACCCTTTGTCTCCCTCTCCCCGAATCCAACAGCCTCCTAAAGGCCCTTAAACCCCTCCAAACCTAAACCCTAAACCCTGAACCCTGATGCTCCCAGTCTGCTTCCTTCCGTGCTGCGTTGCCCAGGTGCGGGGCCTTTGCAGAGTTCCGGTTTAAGCACCATGGGCTCCTTGGGGAGGCGGGAACAGCCGATACACCAGTACCCCAAAGCCCCGAAGCCTGTCCTACCTTGGGGAGCCATGAACCCTAGAAGGGTTCATGGCTCATGGTACCCTATAAGTATTTGCAAAAATTTTGGGGGCACGGGGTATATGATCCCATTTTTAGGTCCCCAAGGTACTTGAAGGTTCATTTCATAGGTTGCCATGCGGGCAGCTTCAATATGTTAACAACCCACGAGCCTTCCAGGGCTAACCGAAACCCTACACCCGGAAGCCTAAACCCCGTCCCTGTTTCATTCAGGTGTCCCGCTTTCTGCCGGCTCTGGGTCTGTCTGGCGCGGAGGCAGCGGCCCTCGAGGCAGGGAGGCCATCACCATCCATCACCCCTCGCAGTTCAGGTTTGACCGAATATTGGGCCTTAGTAATTAGAACCTTAGGGACCTAAATAATTAGAGTAGGGTTTTGGGGGGTTAGTATCGGGGCCGGAAGGGAATGCTATTCGTAAAGTACTCCGATGTTAGGCTTGTGCAGAGGGTTTAGGGTCTCTGTGGGTCTCTATGTGATGGTAGCTCTGTAAGGGTTATGGGCCCTGAGCTGAACCCTCAGGCCCCCCTCCCTCCCCGCCCCCACAACCCAAGGGCCAAACACGCCTTTTGTAGGCTTTGTGGTAGGCTTTTCGCGTTCGATTTGTGGGGGCGTCAGCTACCCGGAAGTGCAGAGTGGAGCAGAGCAGGCCTCCTTTCAGCGCCTGGACTTCGAGGCGCCCTTTCTGCAGCGGCTCAAGGAGCTCCAGAGCCTCCGGCTGCGGGAGAGACTGTGACTGAGTGGTGGGCGGAGGGGCCCACCCCCCCCCTCTCTCCCGTGTGCCTTCGCGTGTTCGTTGAGGAGCCGCTGAGAGCGTAGCGCTGTAACGTCCAGGTTGTGGTACCGCGACCGGACCGTCGCAACTCAGCGCGAAGCCTTCCCAACGCCTGGTGTGCAACTTCGATGCGGGACCATGCCGATGCCATGCCGAGATGGAAGATCATTGGGAGTACTGTGGGAGGCAAAGGCCGAACTTGTACTGAGCCCGGCGGCCTCCATCGCATTGCCAGAACCTCCCGGCTTCAGACAGCGGTTTTCTGCAGGCACTATCCATCGCATCTTCAGAAGGCGTTGGAGCTGGTCGAGAGGAGGCTCGGACAGGGGTCCGGTGTTGGCGAACCGTGGAGAAGGTGCAGCCGCCTCGCCAGCTGCAGCTGCAGAAGGTGAGAGGTTCTTCCGCGCTCTCTTCGACCATCCTCATGAGCAAGGGAAGCACAAGCCGGAAATATGTGCCTCAGAAACCCTTCGGAGCAGTGGGCGATGAGCGAAGGAATGCCTACCACTTGCTGTGCCGTCCAGTTCACATGCTCCGGAAATGGCTCCGGGCTACATCTGAACACTTCAGGGACGGGGTTCTATGGGTTCTCCCATCACGATAGGGGCGTGGATCCGCCATGGCACTGCTGCTGTCGCGGCTCAGACGCGAGGATGTGGATTTCAGGCATGCCGTGCTCTGCATGTACGCCTAGGAACCCTAGTTTCAGCATCTTTTTGGCCGGTAGCAGTTTCACGCAAGAGTCTCATCGAAAATGCGACCATGGATCGTGGCCACTGCCTTGGCGACGCTGATGTGCTTCACATCAACTTGCTACTTCTTTGCGCAGCTTGGCGTGTGATGTGACCAGGCACTAGAACTCAGCACGAAACGGTTTCGAGGTTCCCTAGGCCTGGCCCAATCTACACACAAGCCTTATGATCCCTGCAGTTTCTGGCTCTGAAGGCCCTAAACCCATTGAAAGTTTCAAGCTCCAAACTTTTAACCCTCAACTCCGAATGGCAAATTTCCTAAGCTCTATAAATTGACGCCCCTGAACTCTAAATCCTGCGCCTATCAACCCCGAATCCGAGGATCCCTGAAGAAATCAAGAAGAGCTCTGCTAGCCGTGCGGGCTACTGGGGCCAACCCGATGCCGAGTTCAACTGGTGCGAGCTGGAGCTGGTTGTCAGGGCTTTATGGGGTTCAGGGGCTTTTCTAGAGCTTAGGATGTAGAATTTAGGAAGTGTCGTAGGGTGTGTAGGTCTAGGAGGTTATCGCATGCCTCTATGTTCACCTTGGGATTGATTTCTGGGATGGAGGGGAAAAAGATGCTGCCTTCCCTCTTTGCCGACAGAGTGTGGGTTTGCGTCGTTCTCTCCTGTTGCAGAGCCACGTGCATACTCCGACTTGATCATGCCAATGCTCTCGGTTTGCAGGACTATCAGCTCGTGGATTGGATCGCCGAGCCTGTGAATACGGCGTCCTGTGTGGTCATGGTCCTCCTTCCGCTGATGTTCCTGGCAACGCACGAGGCTCCCTTTTGAACTCTTCGTGGCTTTACTCTGAGCAGCCTTGCTCTACGTAGCCCCAGCGTAGCCCCATCCGGGTGATTGGTGGCCTTGGTCAAATGACCAGTTTCCAACTTACGTCCTGGTTCTTGTTGCAGGCATGCTGGCTTTCGTCTCACCAGGCTCTTGCTTCCATGCACAGGCAACTCCTGACAACACCGTCATCGGATGGCTGGAGGTGGCCATTGCCTTGGGCAGCATGCTCTTCCACGCCACCCTGCGTTATCCCATGCAGCTTGCTGATGAGATCCCCATGCTCTGGCAGCCTGTCTGCATCCGAATCTTTGCACACTGCAGATCGGCCACATTCCAGCCCTTAGCCCCAAAGCCTGAGTTGAATACCCTCAGCCCTATAAACCCTAAAAGCTCAATTGGAGATAATTGGAGGTACGTGGCCGCTGTGGACTCGAGCTGCTTGTGGCGGCTCCGTGGCGTAGACGTCTCGTACCTGCTGGCCGGCTGGGTGGCCATCGTGACCGGCATGATCCTGGCCCGGGCCCTGGCGCTGAATAGGGTTTTGGGTTTCCAGCAAGCTTGGTCCGAGTCTGGGTTCAAAAGCGAGAGGGGAACTGTTTGTCAAAAACCAGGCTGACAACTCATCGCCCGAACTCCTAAAAGAGAGTCTAACAGGCAGTTAACTAAACTGGCCCCAAACCACCGTTTAGCTGTACATACCAAGTAGGGTTAGGAGAGCAGATTCGGATGACTGATTGTATTTTGGCTCAAGGAAAATAGGCGTGCCCGTTGTGCGTCTTTCCTTGTCTTAAGTACCTTTGTTGTACTTAACTGGTTAACAGCCTCAAGCTACGTGGTCACTTTGGTAGGAACGTAGGCAAAGCCGCGCGCCGCCATAGTGCCCCCTCCATAACCGCACACCTGCCTTGAGAGTGTGCTTGAAATTGCGCGACAGGAGCCGCTGGCCCTGCCTCATTCATACTTCACATCCAGCATTGTGTCGAGCCAGAGCCAGGCTCAGCAATTGCATTCACTTCACCTGCAAGCCACCGTTGGGCTTTCCACGTGGCATTCCATATCTCGAAATCTTCGATCGTGCATGCAAAGCACTGAGCCGGAAGAGCATTACGCAACACACCTCCACATTTGGGTTCATTTCATTAAGGCCTTGCGTGAGAAACGCATCACGCGTTTGTTGATTGCTCATCCGCTAAATTGGTGGAGAAGGTTCGTGAGTAATCTTCTTGCTAATCACTACAGAGAGGTATCGTTTGACTGGCAGCTTAGGGTCCTTGTCCGTGCTTTAACGTACGCCGACGATAGGTGGGTCCCTAGATTGCCTCAATACTTTCCGTGACATCCAGGTACATCGTGTGGCTGCGCATCTCCGCTGCAGTGTCGAGGTGCTCGCCCCTCTTGCCCTGGTTGGTTCTGACTTTCGGACTTCACTTCAAACATTCCTGAACATCTTGCCTTTGTACCCTCTCCTGTGAACCCGTGCACGGTTTAGGGAGGCTAGGCCTTGTGGGTACCCTAGGCGTCTGACGAAGCATCACTGCATCACCGTGTGCTTCGCCTCGAACTGCCCAAACAGCAGGTTCAGTTCAGACTTCGATCTTCGCGTGGTTTGTGGTCTCCCTTCGGGTTGAGACTAAGCCCATCACTCCGCCAACAGCAAACCCACAGTGCCGTCGGCTTGACCACGCACTGTGAACGCAACATCGGACAAAGTCCCAATCCCTAAGAGGTTTCAGGGTCAAAGCAAAGAGAGTCGCGGGTCTTCCCCACTCTCATCCGTGTGCATTGGCTCAGACAGCCGGTTGAGTGCGTGTCGTTAGTTGAAAGACCTGCATTGCCCCAATATCCCATCTGAGGAATCCCGGCAAGGTAGTCAAGCTCAGGCACTCTGCACACATTCTTCTGGCCACTTTCTAGGCTTGTTGGGGTCGCCGCCCGAATTAGGCTTAGAGGGGTCGCCGCCCGAATCAGGCTGTGCAATTGTCTCTGGTACCATGGGTTGGAACGATTTTTTGCAGGCGTGGGAACGCGTGACCTCTGAAGAGTCCTTTGTGGAGCGTGTGACTGCTGCTTTTTCCAGGGCCACGAACTCGCCTGCGGTCAAAGGCTCGTCTGAGTTCCGTCGGAGGAAAGCTGTCCTCTTGGTGGTCATCCGTGCGCTGGTGCAGCTTCTCATCGGTACTCAGCAACAGTCTGGGGCCATACGGCTGGTCCGAACTCGAGAAAGAGAGCTCGAGGGCACGGAGGCATTGCCATATCATCCTTACGCTACGTTCGTCGAGGATACCCTGGAAGAGGTCAGAGGAGTGCTTCAGGCACCTTCGCCGGAGCCTGAGATACCGGCTCCGAGGACTCCTCCTGTCGCAGTGCGTTCCAGATCTCCGCCTCGTTCCTTGGTTGAGGGTTCTGACCAAACTCCGGTACCTCCTAGACCGCGACCGAAACATAAGGGTGATCGAACCCCTGCACCTCCTAGGGCACGACCTAAACATAAGGGTAATAGAACTCCGGTTCCTCCCAAGGCAAGTACCTTGCCCCGAACACCAGGTCCGTCACGTGCACCGGAGGCTGCAGCAGATCTTCTTGTGTATCGTCCCAAAGCAAAGGCCCGACCCGAGTCCAGACCACCGCAGGACTGGGAGTTGGACGAAAGAGAGTATCCAACCATAGCGGATTCGTTCAGGGTACAGGTTGAATTGGGACAACACTCAGATAGAGAAGCCATAAACCGGTGGACTACTGAAGAGTGGAGAGAGCATAATCAGGCGCTCTCATCTTCTTCTTCTGCCGCGCCGCGTGTTGCACCTTTGGAAGTGGTCGAAGTGCGTGAGGACATCCCTGTCCTGATTTCATTGGATTTCAGCGGGGTGCTCAACATCCACTTTCAGGACAGCCGAGATTTTTTGGACCGTTTGAACGCAGAGCGTCCGAGCCACGTGAAGCTGAAGTTTATTTGCACGAGTTACTCTGGGACAGAACGGGCCAAAGAAACGCGTCAGTCGATGGCTTCGGAGCTTCCGGGCGTGCCAGTCTACATCACTAGCTCTCCAACGGGCCGTCCTGGAAAAGGAGCCTTCATTAAGCGTTTGATGGACCGGCGGTCGGATCACTTTGCGTGTCATTTGGATGACAGATCAGACATCGTGCGGGACGTCGAGGCGTATGGTGTTCACGGTATTTTGGTATCGCCGAATACGTGGCTGACTGATCTCGTGCCCACTGTGCTGTTGTGGCTGCGGTCCCTGTAAAACGCTAAAAGAGAGCTGCTGACCTTCAGGGGAACCTGGGGTTTCTATTGCCTGGCACCATGGCGATGAGTCCCGAAACTACTGATTCCTCGCTCCAGGTGTCCACTTCCAGCACGCCGCCTACACCACAGGCGCGGGCACTCAGTGCTGTAAGGGCACAAGAAGCAAGGGTAGGAGAGAGCAGTAGTGATTCCACTCCCGTAAGAGCCGTTTCAACCGGAAGGGGAAGGTCCTCTCAACCCTATGCCTTAGCTAGTTCCCGAAATCGCTCTTCCTCCGCTAGGATGCAAGCTTTGTTGCCTCCGCCAGCTTATGCATGTGAAGTTGCAAGTCCTGCACCAGCAAGTCAACCTGTTTCGCTTGCACCGGGCGATGGGACAACCACCCCGGATGTGCACTTGCATCAGCATGTTCAGCGCATTGCCCCAGAGTTGCACCTGCATCAGAGTCGTCAGGAATTGCATCTTCATGGGGTTGATTCCCGAACACATTCTCAGGCCGTTGCTGCTGCACAGCTGGCACAAGCGCAAGCACAAAACATTCAACAGGACGCTCAGGTGTTTGCCCAGAACGTTCAGCATGAAGCTCAGGCATACGTGCAGGTTGCAAAGAGTGAGGCTCAGGCATATGTTCAGAGCGCTGTCACTTCTGCTCAACATGAAGCCATGCAGCACGCACAAGAGTATGCAGAGCGCGTTAGGGCTGAAGCTGAGAGACAGGTCCAGAGTGTTTCAGAACAAGCCGGTCAGCATCTTGCACAAGCAAACGAAACCATTGCCTCACTTCAGGCTAGGAATCGTGAGCTTGAGGAGCAGCAGGAAGAAATGATGCAGCGGATTGCGATGATCCAAGCTGAGATGCAAAGCATCAAAGCTCAACAACAGTCCCAAGCCGACACATCCCACCTTCACGCAGAGCGAGTGTCGCAGGCCTCAAGGGCTCAGGACCAAAATGGCACGGAGATCAGTGAAGCCCTCAAGGCCTTGGCTGCAAGTGTTGGTGAGACAATGAAGGAGTTGCGAGAAATCGTCAGTCCCAAAGCATCCAAGCCTAAAAGCAAAGCGAAAGGTTCGGGGCTCCGAAACGGGACACCCTCCCCTAAGCATAAGAGTCCAAAGGTCTCAGCGGCTCAAGGTCAAAGATCTGCTGGTGTGGCTGCTGCGCCTGTTCCAAATCGGTTTGGATGCTTCTGCGCACCCAGGTTGCCAGTTTTCACCGGTGTTGGTTTGCCGGCTCCGTCTAGATCCAAGAAGGGTTCTTCGAGTGACAATCCCTTCAACGTCTTCTCCACTCCCAAACCTCCTTCAGTCGTGCATCCCCCAGACCCTCCGATGCACTACGACATCGGGTCCGAACACGAGGAAGGTGAGGAGGAAGAGGAGAGGGAAGATGACCCCATCATTGATGTCACCGATGCAACGGGGGAAGAAGAAGTAGACTATGAGCAGGATACTTACCACAACAAAGATCTTCGAGACCTGAAAATCCCTGCACTTCCTTCGACAGCCGCGGGATATCGAGCATGGAGGAACGGCGTTTTGACATCGTTCAGCAGCATAGACAAGAGTGGGAACGCCAGGATACTGAGATGGCTCCAGGTCGCCCTTGATCCAGCCATAGGAGACCGACAGATGCGCAATCTGCAGGTCACGTCTGACGGCCTTCCCCGCCTTGATGCATTCCTGGCTGCGCAGCTTACAGATCCAAAACACCTCAAGGGAGACTACGGAGTCGCTGCCCAGGCGTTCACCGAGCGAGCACATGCGTTAGGCGTGCAGCCTTCCGGGCGTGCGCTGTTGGCAATGCTCAGCCGAAGGTTTCGGGTAGACCGGATCAGGGGGGCGACAGTCTCCCAGCAGACACTCTTAGCCATCCAGCTCGAAGGCTTCAGCCAACAACAACTGCAAGCCTTTAGAGAAAAGGTTGAGTTTTGTTTGAACGGTTTCAGTCCCGAAGCATGGCCCGCTGAGTCTACCTTGTTTAGCTGGTTATACTCCAAGCTCAAGCACTGCAGGCTTCTTTCCAGAGCAGTCGACAAGATCAAAGACTCCAATCCAGGTAGCAACAAGCGAACCTTTGCGTGGTTGTGGTCGCAGCTTGTCGAATTGCTAGATGAGCTGAGAGAAGAAGCAAACGAAGAGTCAATTCGTGACACTCTCATCAAGCCCAAAGCCAAAGCTGCTCCCGCCCCAAAGAAAGAGGAGCGTTCCCGCGATAAGCCGGACAAGCCCACTCCTGCCAATCCAGCCCCTCCGGCCAAGACCAAAGGTTCTGGGAAGGATGGGAAAGACAAGGATGGCAAGGGAAAGGGGGGTAAAGGGAATGGTAAGGGTGCAGATTCACAGAAAACACCAAACAAGCCAAAGGCGAAATCAGGCGGTAAAGGCCAGGGCTCCAAAGCTGAAGGCAAAGCCCCAAGCAAAGGAAATGCCCCCAAAGCTACCGTACCATGCCTGTTCTTCCCAAAGGGAACGTGTAACCGGGGTGAGAATTGTCCGTTTTCGCATGAGACCTCTCCCGGTAACAAGGCCCCAGGGTCAAAGACTACTGGAGCTAGCGCTACGGCAAAGAGCTCTGCCGCAGCTGTCGCCCTGCTGCTTCCCACTACGGCGCGGGGTGCCTCGGTCGATGGTTCCTCCACACCGAGCAAGACAACCTTTTGGAAGCGTTCAGGATTGAGTAGGTTCTTCCAGTTCGTTTCGGGGTGGTTTACTGTGTTCAGCAACATCTGCGCTCCTGCCTGTCCCGCCACTGTCACTCCGTTGCTTGTAGCATCTCAGCATCAGCACCCGCAACAGGGATGGTTCTACCACGAGTGGATCGCTGATAGTGGTGCAGGTAGATCCCTAGAGAGTCGTGAAGCCCTCAATGAACAAGGCATTCCTGAAGACGCATACGCACACATGGCCGAACAGGCACCCACAGTATCCTTTTCCACAGGGAATGGTGTCGTTGATTCAGGGCTCATGCTTGGCTTCGAGGGTTCCATTCTAGGAAACAATTCTGCATATCTCCTGGACAACTGCCCTAGTGTAAAATCACTTGGTGAGCTGGTAGAGACAAAGTCTATGCCGTTTGTATGGTTGCCAGGAAAGCTTCCGATGTTCCTGTCGAGTGTCGAACACGTTCAGGTCATTGAAGAATCCGCCATATGTGCCGATAGAGTTGAGGGAAATGTTCCAATCTTCAGGGAACAGGTCAGATTCGTCTCGCCTTCCACTGTTGCGATGCCTGGCTTCATGAGCGATGCTAGAAAGGCAAAGCCTCTTGCACGCACTACCATAGAGCCTTCACGGCACACCACGTATCGACCCTCGCCGCATATCACGGAGGAGTCTACCTTGCTTGAGTTGTTGCAGGATCCAGGGGTGCCGTCAAAGACCGCCTCCGGGTCTAGAGATCCTCCACCTGACTCTGATGACGAGCTGAAGTCTAGGGCAAAGTCCTCTTCAGCAAGAAAGCCAAAGGCTAAACCAAGTCCAAAGGACAAGGTCAAAGGTGCAAAAGCTCCTAAACCTGCTGAAGCAGCGAAGGCTCCGGAACCTCCTGCTCCAGTAGAACCCGAGGTCCCGCCACCTCCACTTCCTCCACCTGCCATTCCGCCAGGTTCTGGGTCGGACTCAGGAGAGGACGTGACATCAGAACGTCAGAAGCAACTCATCAAGGAGGCCTCTTCAATGGCACACAAGTTGACGCATATCCCTAAGAATCCCTACTGTGAGATATGTCAGCGAAGCCGCATGTATCGACAAAGAGTCACCAAGAAGCGTGCAGAGCCTCTCGAAGACAGAGGTGACTTGCCTCCTGCTGAACAGTTTGGCGAGAGGATTGCAACAGACTATATAATCCCTTCGAAGCGTGAGCATGCAGTCCATGTCATCAGGGATGAATATAGTGGTGCACTGCGAGCTTTTGTCTGTGCGCGCACAGCTGAGAGAGCAGCTCAGAACCTCCTTACCTTTGTAGGCGCCCGATACAAGCACCTCCCGAACGTGTTGTGTAAGGCTGATGATGCAAAGGAGTTAATAGCTGCCGTCTCACAAATAGGATGGGTGCATGAAGCGACCCTAGAAAACAGATTTCCACACAACGCCCAACTTGAGAGAGAGATAAGAACTCTCGAGGAATCGACTCGCGCGGTGCATTTGGCTGCTGGGTTCCATGTGGTTCCAGATCTGTGGCATGTGTCCGTGCAGTTTGCCGCGCAGACTTTGACAGTTGTACCGTGGCAGGGCAAAGACAAGTCGCGTTTCGAGGTTGCAACTGGTTCCCCATTCGAAGGCCCAAGGCTTCCCTTGGGACAGTTGGTGCATTACAGGATCCATGACCCCAGCCGCAGGCATAAGTTCGAAGCTACAACTGCTCCCGGACTATTTGCAGGTTGGAGGTTTGAGCACGGATTTGTGTATCGTGACGTGATCTGGGTGCTAGACTATGAAGCCGTCAAGTCCAAGTCGATTGGGTATAGGGACATGATCCCCGTGCCATATGCGGAAGTGCATGTCCCAGAGACTGAGACCTTCCCGCTAAAGGCCGCGGCGGATCTTGCTCTTCGCGAGTTCCAGGATCCCAAACTTGAGGCTATCACAGCGCTGGACATACCATTCAGCTCACTGTCCCCTGCTGATCCTCCTCGAAGGCGCGCAGAGTACATTACGCTTGAACGCATTCTTAAGTTCGGTGCCACACCAGGATGCAAAGCGTGCACTTTCGATTCCGTGAAGCATAGTCCTAAATGCCGAGCAAGATTCGATGCCCTGATAAAGGCTGATAGGGTTGCGTTGACGTCCAAGCCCCCTGAGCCAGTTCCTCCAGCTGAGCTCCCCGAAGGCGTTGGTCTCCACCCTTCGAGTGAGCCCGCTGTAGAAGGTCTTGTTGCGAAGGTCGAGCTCGGTGTGACGCAAGTCTTTGTCGATGCCAACAGGGAAAGAGTCCGCCAAAGAAAGGTGCAAACGATCATAGGCAAGGATGTGTTGTTCGAATATGCGTGTGGCGACAGTTCAGAGCTTTCGCAAGCTGCATCCGAAATTGGCATCAACAGTGTCCGCTTATGCCGAAGCATGATTGATTTGTCCAACGAAGAACATGTCAAACAAGTTCAAGGTCAGGTCGAAGCATCGCCAGGTTGTGATGTGTGGCTCTCATTGCCGTGCACCGAGTTCAGTCCGTGGCAGAACATGAACGTCCATAGGCATGGGGCGAAGTACGAAAAGGGTCTTCGGAATCGCCAAGAGAAGAGCAAGCTTATGTTCTTGTATGCCCGCAAGGTACTCGCAACTGCCATCGCAAATCATGGAAGGATCGCAGTCGAGTGGCCCAAAGGGTCCGGCTGGTGGGATCTCCCTGAATGGAAAGAATTTCAGGATGAACATGGTCTACACAAAGTGTCTTTTGATGGCTGCATGGCTGGAGTGAAGGGCCGAGAGCATCCAATCCGCAAGCCCTGGAGCGTAGCCACTAATGATCTGCGACTTGTTCAATTTCTTGGACAACTGCAATGTGACGGTAGCCACCAGCACGAGGCCGCCGAAGGCTCACAAACAAAGCAGACTGAAGCATACCCACGAGAGCTCGCTCACAACATCGTCGAAGCGTGGTATCCGCAACGCTACCATCGCCACATCCCCTCCATGGTCACGAAGAACTTAACAAAGCGGGAATGGAAAGCAGACCCGCGCGGAGTTGCAGCCGTGAAGAAGGAGGCAGAAGGGTTACGTTCTAACGGAACGTGGGATGATTTGACAGTCTGTCTTTTGTCTTCCTTGCGTGCCGATGCAAAACGGCAAAACCGTAAACTCAAAATTGCAGAGCTTCTCACATTATGTGGGATAAAACATTTCGAACTCCCTGAGCATGAACACAAGTTCAAAGGGAGAATCGTGTACAGGGGGGACTGCGTTTTTGACCAGTTCGGAAACCATGTTCTTTTTGAAGACGTGGCTACCACACCAACTTCCTTGGTTGCCCTTAACATCGCATTGTTTTTCGGCTGCCAAGATGGAAACGCAGTGAGCCTTGCAGATGCCATTCAGGCATTTCTTCAAGCTGACCTCGCTGAGGCAGGAGAGCCCGACACATGGGTTATCCTCCCCGAGGAGCTGTGGTTGGACACATGGCACAAAGCGTACCCATCAGGGTCGAAGTTGGTGGTAAGGTTGAAGCGAAGCTTATATGGCCATCCGCTTGCTGGCAAACTATGGCAGAAACACCTAGCCTCTGTTCTCACTTCCTTTGGTGGCATTGAGATGGATTTGTTTCCTTCAAACTTCATCTTTCAAATGGGTTCCCATACCCTGCTACTTAACGTGTATGTAGATGACCTAACGTTGTCGGGAGCAAAGCATCTTCATGCACAGTTTTGGAAAAGGCTGAGAGCGCATATCAAGCTGGAAGACGAATGTTACATCGAAGCCTCGAATGCACGGATCCTTGGCAGAGGTCACCGAATCCAACGAGGCAGTGACTTCACAACTCTTGTGCTTGATATGTCTGCTTTCGCAGAGCAGGTCGTCGAGGCGTACTGCGAGCTTGCTGATGTCCCAAAGGCAAAGCTCCGTAACGTCACAACCCCAAGTTTGTCCGAGGCGTTAATGTCAGATGAGGACCTGCAGCAACCCGGCACACTGAGCCATGTAGCTGCAAAGGTACTTATGAAAGCACTTTGGCTGGGTCGGTTGGCTCGCCCTGATCTGTGTTTCATAATCGGTCGGTTAGCGTCACGAGTGGCCGCGTGGACTAAATGGGAAGACAAGCAGTTACTTCGCCTGATTTCGTATCTTCACGGTACAACAGGCTTATGTTTAGCTGCTACTGTGAACCATCACGAAGCTCCCCAGATCCACATCTTCACTGACAGTGATTTCGCCTCTTGTCCGCATAGTGCAAAATCGACGAGCGGGATCTACATGACTATAGGGTCAACAGATTTCCGCTTTCCGCTGTGGTGGGCATCTAAGAAACAGACGAGTGTTGCAAGAAGCACTCCCGAGGCTGAGGCCATAGCAATGGCTTCCGCCATGTTTGGTGAGGCCTTGAACATTCAGGTCATGATGGAGCATCTCCTCGGTCGTGCTATCGACGTCGTATTCCATCAAGACAACGAGACCTTGCTCAAAGTCCTGGCTACAGGCTATTCGGCGAAGCTGAGACACTGCAATCGAGTCCACAGGGTCAACATTGCATCAATGTCTGAACAGCTAGAGTCGCCACAAGTCACTGCCGTGTACTGCAAGAGCGAATCTCAGATAGCTAATGGCCTAACAAAAGTCATTCCACCTGCAGAATGGCCACATACTCTCGCACAGTTTGGCTTGACAGCATCCAGCGATGGACCCCACCTGGAAACTGCCGTCGCCGCACTTGCAGAGGCAAATCTTGCCGCAGAAGTCTTCGCAGGCAGTTGCCCAAAGGTCCCGACTTGTCAGCATCTGGTGCAGCTACTGACGCTGTTACCTCATGGTCCTGATAAGAGGGGGGCACCGGGGCACGACTCGCATGTATTTTCTGCGGGCGCATTTGTCTTAGGAGGAGTGTTTGGCCTGCAGACAAACACACACAAATTTCAATATGCAACGGCGTTGATATGTCGATTCTTTCGACGTTATATGCCATCACACAAGTTCTCAAGCATAATCGTGCAGCAAGGTGTAGTCGCGGGGCTCCACCGAGACTCCAACAATGCAGAAGGCTCAAAGAACCTCCTTGTAGCGTTAAATCCAACAAGTGGACCCATATTGTGGGTAGAAGATGAGGAAGGGACTGTCCAATGTCCAAACGACGACAGCCTATGGGGTCACATGTTGTGTAACCCTGCACTCTTCAATCCCAGAGCACGCCACTGCACAGTCCTGACAGGATGTGAGGCTTCAGAACGAATCGTTGCCATAGCATTCCTGATCAGAAATGCCGAGCGCTTGAGTCCTTCAGACCGCGCAACACTACTGAGCGCAGGTTTCAACCTGCCCTCAATCTGCTAGTCCAGTCTCACCGTTCTGTCTCCTAAAGGGGGGAGTTAACTAAACTGGCCCCAAACCACCGTTTAGCTGTACATACCAAGTAGGGTTAGGAGAGCAGATTCGGATGACTGATTGTATTTTGGCTCAAGGAAAATAGGCGTGCCCGTTGTGCGTCTTTCCTTGTCTTAAGTACCTTTGTTGTACTTAACTCAGGCAACCCAAACCCCAAATATGGGTTCCGCAGTGGTCATAATATAACGGTCATATGATGGTCAGCGGACCGAGATGCGTGGTGGCCGGGTCGCCAAAATAGTCCTTATTGTGTTTTGTGCCTGCTTGTTCTTGGTGGTGGTGGGGGGGACGGTGTACCTCATTTTACGGTTGCGATGATATGGGGGTTTACGAAAATGCACCCCGAAACAGTAGATTCCGTTATAATACGGACCCCAATGAGGTACCCCAATTTCGGAAACCACCATGTTGTCGGAATTTAGAGAATCCCGAACAAAGCAGGATACCAGGACAACGATCACCCAGAAAGCACGGAGACTTCGCAGGTGACAGAGCAGCACTCCTTTGTCCATGAGAGCCTGGGTTGAACGACGGGATTACGCTGTTTCATTCAGCTTCCTTTTTGTGTGGGAGGGGGGAGGGGGGGATGTTCAAAACGAGGGTCGCTTCACTTGGGAAGCTACAGAGCAGGTAGCAATGAGGGCACTCTGCTATTGGTAGTTCTTGCTGTGTCACTCGTTTCGGTGGAATCCCAGCTCTTTAGGCTCGGCCTTGCAGTACCGTGTCGAGATGACGGGCTTCTTGTAAGAAGAATCATCGACAACCCAAACCCCACCGCCCTAGTCGTGTGATCGTCGCAAGGCCCATACCCTGGAACTTTGGCAGCCATCTTCTCCCCCAGCATCGGATCCCAGGATCTTCCGTGGTCTCATGACGCTGTCCTTCTGCATTGGCCTGGTGGTGATAGGCCTTGCCAGCCTTGTCCCTGGTTGCCTGTTTCAGGGCTTTTGGAGTTTTGGAGCTTAGGATGTTTTAGGAACATACTTGCAGGCTTTGGAGGCTTGGTGGTTGCTTTGAGGCCTTGGAGGGCCTAGCTTGGAGGGTTTGGGACGGAGCTTAAGGGACTTCAGGGCTCCAACTCAACGGCCAGGTTGGGGTGCCTCGGCGCTGGCGGCACGGCACCTCAACAGCAAGTGCTCACCTGCAAAAGTCATGGCCACGACTCTGAGGAGCAGGTTTAGGAAGTTTAGGAGCAATAGGAACCACCGAGTCAATAGCAACATCGTCACCGATACCCGCAATCGTCACCCTAGTACTCAACATCCTCGCTATCCCGACCATCATGATCATCATCCAATGCTGACAAGCCCGTACGCAAAACTGTCTACTGTGCAAAACCGCCTTCGGGTCGCTTGAGCCCAGCATCAGCATGAGGATCAAGCGAGAAGTGTCTGACAAGCAACGCCGAGTAGGAGAGGCCGCCGATTCTGGGGCTTGCTTGGCAAAATTTTGGGGTTCTGCTTCAAGTAATCCTGCAGAAAAATGTGCCCATCAGGGGATCTGAATGGTCAGGCCGAGCATGAGTAGCATGATGTTGTGGCAATTTGGCTCTTCGAAAACTTCAAGTTGAAGTTACTTTCTGAGAGCTTTCTGGGGAGTGTGGGGCCGCACACCTGGAAGACCAGCCGAAATGCAATGACTGCGAAATGTCTGCTCTCCTATGCCATTGCAATCTTGCCATACCTTCGGAACACCAGACGAGGAATGGAAGTGCCCGCCTTAAATTTTCATAGGCCATGGGCTCCCCAAGAGCCACCTTTGCCCAACCTTCCTCACGGTGCTCTTACTGTGTAAAGTAGTACAGAGGTACGGCACTGATGTGTAAGATCTTTTTTAGGCAGGCATCGTGCCCTCTTTCGACCACAGACCGCGTTCCGGAACGCAGTCCGCGGCCCCAGGAAGCCATCCTTTACGCCGCCTTGCTCATGTTCGCAGTCTCCGTGGTTTCCTGGCTGCTGGATAACTATTTCTGCAGCGCGCTGCGCAACTTGCCGGGTGGTTTGCCCTATCCCCAGCTACACACATGGTGGCACGTGTTCATAGCTGGCACCTTGCACTGTATAATGCTTTTGCTGCACCTCGATTCGCGTCGTGAATCTAGCAGCGTCCTGGTGAAGTATGTTGCGGGGATTTTCCCCGTGATCCGTGACTAAACTGGTGATGCAGCCGTGTCCAACGCCCAAGAGAGCCCGCTATTCCCAACTCGCTTCGGAGAGCCACTGCGAGCAGCTGAGCAGTCCGACGACTTGCTGTTACAAAGCCGGGCGCGGACGGCCCGCGAACTTCACAGTTCAGCTGACAGAGCCCTGCCCCGAACTCATCGGCGCCTTGCGGCTGGCAATGGACTACGGGCCTAGGTTTATCCAACTTTTCCCAAATTTGCCCAGCCGCTGAAGTGTGTGTGCAGTACCTGCCAGCTCGAGCCGGCGCTTTCTAGCGCTTTGATTAAAATGAGTCAGGTGGATCCTTCAGCACTCAGGGGCTTGTTCGACTGGGTAGTTTATTGTGCCGCGGTTCAGGTTGATGGTAACAAACCTTGCAGGCACACGATTGCTTGGCCGCCAGCATGTCAACCCGTTGGCCATTTGCACAGGAGAAAGCTGACACACTAGTTTTTTGACGGCGCAGGTTCACAGTTCGGGTCTTTTGACATCGCGCTGGGTTGCGATTGCGCACCTTGCATGCTGTGAAGTGAGGCCGCCCTAGCAGCGGCTCTCAAGCCTTTTGCACCCCTACACGCCGAGCCGCAAGGCCACAAACCCCTCTAAGCCTCTAAGCCTCACACACGAACACTGACCTGCGCTGGTGATGTTTGCTGGGCATGGCCTAGCGCAAGCCGCGCTCAAGCCTGAGGTGACCGATAAAGGCTGTAAGGGGGGCTTCCTTGTGGTGGTTTGGGGTGCGCAGGGCTTCGAGGCTAGCGGGTTTGGGAGATTCAGGGTTTGTAGGGTGCTCAAGGTGTTCAAGGTACCCAAGCCCTCTTAACAAGCGGGGCCCCGTGTTGAAGCACTGCTTCGACCCTCAAAGCATCCCCCCCCCCCCCCCCTTCACCGCCGAGACCCAAAACACAAACTTAACATCAGTCCAACACGAATGGGACGGCCTGGGTATAAACCCCAAACCCTGCACCCGAACCCCCTTAGGGAGCCTTATGGGCCCTAAGCCCTCAGGGACCCTTCTGCTACTGAGGCCGAACCATGGGTCCCATGGGTTGCAGAGCCGCTGCCTTGCGAGTTCTGAGGGGCCTTGACACCTAGGATTTAGGGTTTAGGGTTTAGGGCCGGTTTAGGGGTTAGGGTTGGGATTTGATGCTGGAGTATAGGTTTCAGTGGCACGTTGTGTTGGCGCCAGGGGGGTCTGTTCGCAGATGGTGCGCTAGAGCAAACGTGGCACCGTGCCAAGGCGCCCCAGGAGTAGCGCCACCGCCTACGTGGCAGGCAGAGTGGCTTCAGAGGCGCATCCGACGAACCTGGATTGGGGTTGTCCTGGTTTGTCGCCAAGCCCGAAGGCAAAGCAAGCCTCAATCCTAAAGCACTAGTTCCAGCCCATGTGATTCGGGCCAAGCCTTGACATTCCGTGCACAACAACTCTGCTGCGCCTTCTGAAGTCTCGAAGAAAGCTCCCCGTAAGTATCACCAGAGGGCTTGGGTTTGGGTGTTGTGGGGGGGGGCTTTGGGCTTTTGGGTGCTTTACGGTATTCTCTTCACAGAGCCACCCATGTACAAACAACTGTCCGGGGTTTCAAGGTGTCCGCCTCCACGATTTGAGCCGCAGCGTCGTGCGCCAGCCACGGGCTTAATATGGGGGTCGGAAAAAACTCTAGTAGTATTCCCTTCTGGTCCCTGTAGACTTATACTGTATACTCAATAACCCCCAAAACGCTATTGTGTCCCCTCGGCCCTAAGAAGCCGAAGGCGACGACTCTTCCCGTGAAATCATTTGGTAGTCCGATACGAGGCATGGTGCAAGCTTGATGTCGGCAGTTCTGAGACCACGGCTTTCCAAGTGGTGTGGGGTCAACATGATGTGCCGTGTGTCTGAGGACGCTCCGGTGGATGACACGCAGAGGCGGCCCTGCCCTGTCTGCACTCCAAATCGTAAGAACAAAGCCTCCCGAACTGCTAGCAACCCTGAAGTCCCTAAAGGCAAAACCCCACGTCATTCATGCATCTTTCTATATGTATATGAAGCAGGGTTTGGTTTTTTGTTTTTGGTGAGTGTACATAAGGTTCCTTTTGAATATTGGTGAGTGTATATATGGGGTGTCCTTTTAGGGGTACAAGAAATAGATACCCTACTTCATAATATGTATGTATGTCTATGTATATATATATATATATGTCTACATGTGTATGTGTACATTTCTTTGTTTGTTTGCATTCGTCCTTACTTGTCATGTTATTGGGAAAGTCACCTCTTAGCCTGCATGAAGCGTAAGCCCTCAGCCCTACATATTCACCGCAAGCCCGAACCCCTCAACCCGGAGCCCCTCGATCGACGCTCAAAACCGAAACGACCTGCGTCTTCGCTCAGAGGCGCCTTGCCGACCTGGCCGACTTCGACCATGCTCTTCTCAGCCTCACGCAGGACTCTGCAGGCAGGAGGGCTTTGAATCTCTTTCTGCTGCAAAAGGGCTTGGTATTCTTTTCTTTAGGATTGACAGTGAGGGCTAAGGGAAATTCAAGGGTTAGTTATTGGAGTTGTGATTTAGCTAGGCCTCTTTACCTCATATACATACCTTCGTGGCTGTTCGTGTTTTTGTGGCTTTGCACTAGTGCTCGTGCTGTCGGTGTTGCTGTCACCCTTCGTGTCTCCGCTATATCTGCACGCCAGTGCATCCATCCAGAACATCCATCGTGGCCCATGTAGTAACGTTCTAAGTGGGCGCGAATGGGGGATGGAAACTCTCAGTTGCTGCGACCTCCAGCCCGTCTGGTTTTGGGTTTGACATTAGGGGTCTGAAGTAGATTCTTGGGGTTTCTTGTTCCTGCATTGGGTGGAGACGTTGCCCCTGTGATTTCTGGTCTGCGTGCTTCGTGTTGCCTCTGTGCGTTCCACAGTAGGCGGCGCTGTCTCTGCGGAACCATTGTGTTGGACAGTGTCTTTGCACCCTGATGCCAACTTCAGCCCTTGCCCCCGGTGAACTAAGGCCTGAAGCCCTCCTGAGTCTGGTGTTCCGTTGCTTGGGGTACAACCTCCCAGGCCCAAACCCTAAACCGCCTAAACCGAAGCCCTGAAAGGCATGCAGGCTTTCGGGCAGCAGCTGGCCCCTCCGATGCCTGCGCCAGGGCCACCAGGGCCGCCAGGGCCGCCAGGGCAGGGAGGCGCGCGCGCGGCTCTGTGTGGTGGCGGGGGGCGGAGGCGTTGCGGCGTTGCGGCGTTGCACGGGCGACGCTGTTTTTTTGCTAAACCCCGTGGTTAGGGTAACAACTGGGGAGTGAGGAGGTTAAGGGCTTACTCGGGCTTGGGAGGTGGCGTTGAGGGTTTATGAGACCCCTCGTGACGGGTACCGTCGCCCTCTGACCTAAGCCATGTAAGCCCGAACACCACCCACACCCCCAACAACAAGCCGAGCTCTACTCAGACTCTTCGATAATATTTGTACGGGGCCCATGAAACTATGAGAATGAATCGCAAACCTGTTGTTGCAAACCCCTAAACCTTTTGTTGCACAACCCCAGGCCCTCTTCCTCAACCCTCCTGTTGAGAGCAGGCCTTTGCTCAAGCTTGATGAGCCCCTGCACGCAAGCCTCCGGCCACTCGAGCCAGATCGTCGTCCCTCAGGAGCTTTCGGCGAGAAGCTTTAGGGGCTTGGGGGCTTTTAGGTTGCGTGGAACACAGCCCAAGGGGAGATTCAACTTTTTTGGGCTAGTGATTCTCAGGGTTCATGAACAAGTAACTGGCACGGGGAATGAATCTCGCTTGGTCTCCCCGACAGTTTGCTCTTGTAACTTTTCACGTCTATAGTAGTAGAATACCTCATGAAAGGGCACCCTTAAACCCTGTTTCCCTGCCTGCGCCCTAGTTTTGGATGGCGTAGACGCAGACACTCGTGACCACCAGCGCAACAGAACAGACATCAGCAAGACAAGCAGGATTGATACCCGTGTAGCTGGACGAATACAGCTATGACGACGAGCCGATGAGGCTTAAGTGCTTTTTGCCGAAGCAAAACACACAGGTCCATCAGCAATATTGCCGTGCGCTTGCACATAACCAACTCTCCAGACACCAAGGGCCAAAGCCCAACGGACGCTTCTCAGGAACCCGAAGCCCCAACCCGAAGCCACCGCTTCTCCTATAGGAGTAGTTTTCTCAATTAGGGTTGGCCCAAAATTGACCCCATTTTCGAGAAGCAACCTTACGGTAATGTCTCTGCACGGTAGTTTGGGGAGGGGGTTCAAGGTCAGGGGGAGGCGGCGCCGGGTAGGGTTTTGGTGCAGGGGCTTTGGTTTTAGGATTCTAATTCTAAGCACTAAACCCTAAACCCTAAACCTTGTACCCTTAACACCTAAAACCTAAACTCTATAAACCCTAAACCCCAAACTCGGATTTCAGGTGTTTTAAGGGGTTGCTGAGTGCAGGATCCGGGTGAGCTTCTCCAGGCGGCAGCCCTGCAACAGGCGCAGGCCTCCTCTGGGTGTTCGACTATATCCCCCTTGGGAGTTTTTTCTAATTTGTGTTTATATAAAACACAAGAGGATATTAAACATGTTTTTGTATTGAGGTTCTAAAGGGAGTATAGTCAAGGAGACCCACTTGGAGGTTGAAGGTACCCAATTGTAACTGTGCTTATAACTTATAATTTAGGGGATGTTTGCAAAACAACTATTCTCACTTGTGAGACTTAGGGGGCTTATAAGTGCAGTTACAACTGGGGTTACAAGTACCCATGAACCTCCGAGCAGTGCCCTTCTCCCTTTTGGGTGTAAGGGTTTGGGGTTGGGGTTGAGGGTCTGGGATCAGACCCTGAAAACCTTCTGCTGGATTGGCGGACACCAGTTTAGAAGAACCAGCCTACTGTTGTTCTTCTTGCTTGATAACTACCATTGTCATGTTGATTGTCATTCTTGTACCTATTGTTCCTACTGTAAGTATTCTTCCTATTTTTCCTATTGTTCCTATTGTTCTTTTTCTTCCTATTGTTCCTGTTGTTCCTGTTGTTCCTGTTGCTTCTGTTGTTCCTGTTGTTCCTGTTGTTCCTGTTGTTCCTGTTGTTCCTATTGTTCCTATTGTTCCTTCTGCTATTGTTTTTCATCATTGTTCTTGTTGGCTTAGTAATTACGTATCACCGAATGAATACCGTCGTGATTGTCGCCTCCGAATATCTGGAGAGCTTGAGGCTCTCGCGCGACACCACTTTGGCTGGCCAAAGTTGAAGTCCTTCCAGTCACTTGGCATCTCAATGGTGCGGTGGCTTCAGGATTTATCGGGTTTAGTAGGGTTTGGATTTAGGGCTTCTGTTCGGTTCTTTTGGCGATGGCCCTTGCTGCACTCAGATATGGCCCTTCTTGTTTATTCGGACATCAACATCCCCCACAATACGCTTGTTCTTCAACATAGCGAGGATTGGTAGAAGGAAACATGGAGGGCAGGTGTCAGGAAGTCATGCCAAAGACAAGATTCTCTAAGCTGTGGTGTCTTGTCGGTGCAGTATCCGAACAAACGCCCCTGAACCCGACACCCTACAGTAACCCCCAATTCCCCTAGTTGAAAGAAGCTTCCATATGCGGATGTGTCATGTCTTACGCTCGGTCGCCCTCATCGTGATGCCATGGGCTTTCGCTAAAAACCCTGCGCGTCTATAAGCCCTATGTCCCACTGCCAAGCCTAATTAAACCCTAAACCCTGAACCCTAAACTGTCAAGCGTACACCCTAAAACGCTAAACCCTAAGCCCTATATCCTAAACCCAAAACCCGGAACCCTAATCCCCAAACGCTGCCTCTTCTTGGGGTTAAGCTCACGGAGGCACAGACATCGGCACCTTTCTTCGATTATATGAAGTCTCATTCTTTGGCTTTTTTTGAGTGTATTTAGGGCTCCGTCGGAAAAATTGGTGAGTGTGCATCTGGGGTGTCCTTTCCGGGGATGCCACGAAGAAGGCTACCTGATAGGATGCAGGCTCGTTTCCAACAGACACCTCGGCATCTTCCACCCCAAGCCGCCACCCTAACCCTAAACCTTATAAACCCTAAACCCCTAAAGCCTGAAACCCTAAACTCCAGAACCCTAAACCTTATCAACCCTAACCCCCTAAACCCTAAACTCCCAAACTCCCAAGCAGCAGGCGGCGTGCCCTCGAGGCCTGGGCCGTCGGCCGCTCCTGCTTCGTGCTCTCGGGAACCGGGAGTGGTGCCTTGGCCGAGACATCCCCTGCAGCTTGTCGCATCCACAGAGTTCTATGGGGGGTTTACGACAATAAAGGAGCCCTTATGCCGACCCCCCAAATAGCAGGATTCCCTTAAAATAGTGACCCCAAGAAGGTACCCCGAATTTCGGAAACCCCCCCAGATGATGATGGGGTTTAAGGTGTTCAGCGGCCGGGGTGGTTACCAAGCTCAGAGAGAACGGGTGTTGATGGGTTTTGGGCCTTGGGCTTTCTTCTGCCCACTTAGGGAAAGAATGCGTGCACCGGATCATGAGTTGTGCCTCAGTGTCTTATAGGGTTTCAGCTGCGTAGGGTGCCTGTCCATCCAGGCAAGAGCGCTTGCTTTACGCTGCCCGCCCTCATCGAGCGCCAGTGGCATGTAAGAAGTGGCGGTGAAGGCAGCACATGCGCACCCGACGAAAGTCGTCACTCTCCACGCCCTGAAACCCTACTTCGTCTGGGTACGAGAACTCCGAAGTTTTGCTTATGTACAGTAAGTCATGAAAGGCGCAAAACCCGCAAAGAGCCCAAGCTCACCAAGCGGGAGGCTTTGGGCCCGTGTCGCTGGTGGTTTCTCCTCTGGTCTCCCTGATGCACGACCAGGCTAATGGTTTTTGGTTCGGGGTCTTCGGGACTAGGGGAAACCCTATAAGAGACCTCGATGGCTCCTGGCCAAAGGGCTTCAAAGGGTTTAGGGTGTCCAGGGTTGAGGGGTTTACGAGGGCTCAGGGAGGTTTGTGGGCTTGAGGGGCTCAGGGAGTTGAAGTTTTGGGATTTCTAGGGGCGAGCGGTCAGCTTTCCAAAGAGAGGCTTTGAGCATGGAACGCTTCTGGGAATTCTGGACCCCCACATCTGGGATCATGTACCCGTCCGACTCTAGTCGGTATCACTTGCCATGTGGACCATAAGTTCGTTTGCCGGGCGAAATCACAAACAAAGAATGGGGGTGCAAGGACTGGGTCTCAATGCACCATGGCCTAGCTTGAACAGCAGCCACCAAGCAAGCACCCTAAACCTTCAAAGCCCCTTTGTGAACTTCTTCTAGCACACCTACAAGCCCGCAGCCCCTTCAAGGCCGCCCCTCAAAAAAATCTCAGCAGCCCATCAGGTGCAGCGCCTTAAACAGGCGGGGGTGCCTGCGCTCGTGTGCTCCCCGCAAGGTGCGCTGCCCCCAGGGCGCTTGAATTAGGATGCAGGGCGGCATGCCCGGGCTTGCATTGCTTCGGGTTTATATGAATACTTATAGGGTTAATATGAATACTTATAGGGTTAATATGAATACTTATAGGGTTTATATGAATACTTATAGGGTTGAGGATTTCAGGGCTAGTTTATCTGGAGGGCGAGCTCAGGATTGTGGCTAGGGAGGGAGGACTTGGGGGCCACCCCCAGGTGCCAGCCACTCCTTTAAACCCATGAAATAACAACAATAATCATAACAATATTTCGAATAATGATAAAAAATCACCATAATAATAATAGTAATCATAGTAAATAATAATACTGATAATAATAATAATTATTATTATTATGATAGAAGACGCACAGCCCCCCAAAGTGTCATAGGCTTATCGTTGAGGGTGTACGGTTTTGGGGTTGCATCCTGGCACCAAGCCTGCCCTCAGAGGTGGGGAGAGTTGCTGGGAGAAAGTCGTGTCGGCCGTGCGCAATGGCGAAGTGCCCTGGATTCATAAATCCGAACCCCGAAGCTGAAATTTCCGTTAGGTTCCTCGGCCTGTGAGGGTTCGGAGGAACCCTTTCTGATTGTCAGGTATCGGGTATGTGCTGGACCCGAAACACTAGACCCTAGACTCTCACAACTTCAGCTACAGGAGCCTTTTCAGAGACCCCGGTTTAGGGGCTATTCAGGGGCGTCTAAGAGCTTCTTAGGGCACAGAAGGACTATTCTATCAGGCCCTAGGGTACTAGGATTAAGGATCCCTTCTAGAAATACCTCCTCTTATCCCGGAACTTCCCAGTATTGGGGTTCTAGGGTCTTAGGGTCTTAGGGTTTTAGGGTTTAGGGTGTTACTTGTAGGGTTTTAGGGTTTTAGGCTTTTCGGGTTTAGGGCTTCGCAAGAGGCAGCTCTGATTTTCATGTCGCCGGAGCGGGCCGTCAAGGAGGTGAGGGCTTCACGGGAGCACGACTGGCTGGGGCAGTACTTGAAGGTTCATGGGTAGTTATAAGTAAGCTTATAAGTACCCTACAGAAGGTTATAACCAGTTATAATTGTAGTTACCCTAGCTATAACAACACTTCTAGCTACCCATGAACCTCCAAGTAGCATCTGGAGGTTGTCAGACATTTGAATGAGGATATATATATATATATATATTCTTAAAGTTTGTTGATGAACTACATTTATACAGATACATGTAGGTGGCTATGTGACGAGACCTGAGCCTAAAAAAACCAGCAATGCCAGATCTTCACCAGTTTTTTGCGGCTTTAGCTTCCCGAAAACGCCTTTGTAAGGCATTCCGTTGCATATGTTGCGCCTGCTATTGTTTCCACACGCTGCTGCCCTCGCACTGGTCAATGTGCCCTTGGTTTCAGGCCGCTGCTATGAGTGCTTGGGTCCAGGTTCCTCTTTGGGGTTCAGGGTTTAGGGTTTATGATGGTTTGCCCCGCGCGCGTTGCGAGCCAGGCGGAAAAGCGGACGCTCGGCCAGCTGGGGCGCATCAGTGTGTTGGCTGTGGATGAGGCCCATCTTCCTTAGTTGAGTTGCGGCCCATAGGTGACGGAGCATGGGTTTAGGGTTCAGGGTGCCTAAGGAGCATACGGGAACCTGTAGCCTGCGGAGATGCAAGCTCGCAAGCTCCGGTTAGGCTACAGCTGTGGCAGAAGCTCGCATGCAGTACCTAATTATTTACGTTGGGGCAGGTCTGGGCCCTTTTGCAGTGAACGCTTGGATAGAAGGCCTTACTGTAGCTAGCAAACCAAGACACACAACATTAAAACTATAGATATAGATAGAAACATACATGTATGCGATGGTGTGGGCCTTCGCAGTTGCATCTTCAGGCTGCTTATTGCATCCATGGCCCACACGAGGCCCATTGCGTGTCCGAGTGGGGCCACGATTTCCGCGTGCCCGGCTGCCTGTTTAGGGTTTAGGGTTTAGGGTATAGGGTTATAGGGTTTAGGGTTTGGGGTTTAGGGTTTAGGGTTTAGGCGGACTCTGCCAATACCTGCCCCTTTTCAGAGAGAGATGCAGCACTGCAGCACGGTGATGATAGCCCCCAGTTTTTTTTTTTAAAGTGCGCTGCATCTTCTTGCGAGCCCGGCCACTCAGCATTTGCCCGCATATGCATCACACCCATCTCCCCAGCCGCAGCATGTGCGGCTCTGACGTGTGAATGCGGGGTCCCATGCGCCAAATCGCGTGCAAGGGACCTGGGATCTATGGCAAGGCCAGCCATCCTTTGCATGAGGGTGAGACATGTGGGGTTGCATGACAGTCTGGGCAAGCTAGTATATGGCTTCGGGTTGTGACTATGGGTCCCACTGTTATAGGAACCTGCCATGTGACTTTCAAGACGCCTCAGCCCCCCCCCCCCCCCCCCCTCGCAGGTGGAGGCTGCCAATGTACGCGTTGATGTGATGCCGGATTCAGGCACGTTTGATCCGAGTTCAGGGTGAGCCCTTAAGAAGCCGGAACGTATGCATGCAGCGCACCTAAGAGTTTAAAGGCCAGTGACCTTTGGTAAGGTAAATTTACTTATCAGGCAGGTGATGCGCTGTGACTCTGGAGCTGTCACTCGTAAGCCCGAAAGATTCCCTTTTCCATCGTGTGCAATCGTGCATCTGACCTCTGAAGAGACTTCATGAGGCACGGATGCTGAGATGTCTACCCTGGCACCCTCGTCGGTGACGGACTGTGAGAGTCCCGAGGGCTCCGATACGAGGAGAGACCCCAGCCTATCGAGGAACCCGACAAGAGGAGCCTGGGGGGAAGCTCGTGGTGCGGATGAGTACATCATGGTACGGATTCACCTTCCATGTCCTGTGCGGCCCCCTGTTCTTATAGAATGATGCTTGGCCAGTCTCACTTGCCCCGAAGACGTTAAGTCTGATAAATCCTGGTCTATGGCCCAAATTGGGATGCCATCCCCACGTCCTCCTTAATAAGCTCAATGAAATGAAGCCCCACCGACGCCCAGCCTCAAGACATGAAGTATGCCCTATACATGTTCGGGATGAGATCGGTCAGCGCAGGACGGTTTCGACTTTTCGTTGCCATACTCTTGCTCGCCACTCTCTTTGTGGCTGCGAAGCTGTCAGGCCGCGCCGCGCCGAACATGGGGTTTCCTAGAAATAGGAACGATGGCTTTTTGGGCCTTCGTTTCCGACATGAATGAATACGTCCCTGTCAATTCTTTTTTTCTTGGGCACATGTTTGAGCAAGGAGCGTCGGTGTTGAGATTGCCCGTTTGCATAATTGCACGTGCTGGGGGCCTTGTGAGCGACAGGTGCAACCAAGTTGTTACGCCGTGAGCAGATTCTTCGCGTTATGGACGATGCGGGTCCTTTAGGCCGGAGGTTTCTCAAACTTGCTTCGCACGAACAAGGGGGCCAAGGGAAAGTGTACGCAAAGCTGCCGCTTGCAAGGCTGGATGGCGTATGTCGTTCTTTTCTCCTTCGGGGAGCTCTTACACATCCCTGGCATCGTCTTTGTTATGGCTGCGGTCTTCTCTTATGGCCGGGTGATGGGGGCCCTTCTGGCCTACTTGGGGAGCATCGCGACGCTTGTCAGATATCCTGTGCTGCTGGGGCTCTCAGGATTCAAGGTTGAGGTTGAACTCTCCTGAAGCCCATGAGGATTCAGGGTTTTCGGGTGAGGGGGTGAAGGCGAAGTGGGGTGGCATGAAATTTGTTTTGTCAATCCACTCCCTCTTCAACAAAGTGGCGTTACGGAGTTCAGAACAACTAATATAGGGGTCGGAATAATTACTACTAGTATTCCCTTATGGTCCCTTTATAAAATGTACTATAATAACTCACAAAACCCTGTTCTCATTATTGAGGCCCCTATATTAAGGTTTGGGGTTCTGGGTGGGCTGCTGCAGCAAGGAGCGTCTCAGCCGGATTTTGGGTCACGCGTGCTTTGAGCGGCGGCGCAACTTTGGACACGCTGAAAATCAGGCCGGGTGCTGGATCCATGAAGTCCCTTAAGCTCTTGTAGAAGGCTTTAGGGTTTCGGGTTTCGGGCTTAGGGTTTAGGTTTAGGGTTTAGGGTTTAGGGTTTAGGGTATAGGGTATAGGGTTTAGGGTTTCCACAAACCTTATGAACCCCAAATCCGTTTTGCCCCTGTGGAGCTTGGACCTGACGACTGCAAACCTGCAAAGCTCGGAGCTCCTTAGCCCGAAAGGTAAAACTGTTTAGGGGTCATATTTAAAAGAGCAAGGTTCGTGGCTTGGTAGGAAAGCCCTCGTAGCAACAAGACCTTGCTTCTACCCAGCCCACACGGCAGGCCCCACCCTCCCCCCCTTTCCCAGGTGGGTGGATCGTGTTCTCATGCGCTTGGAGTTTGCTCCCATGCGCACCGTCGCGATGCTCCGTTTGTGCCCGGGGCTTGGTCATGGTTGACATCTGGCGTCGCGAAAGCCCTGTCAATCCTCTGACAATACCCGCTCACTTTGGCATCAGACCCCTGCCCTAAAGCAGGACATTATGGGTGCTATAGTGTTATACATTCATCCCCAAATCCTTTCATGACCCCAACCCGAACCCCCCCCCCCCACAGACACACTAACAATCCGAAGCCGGGGGCACAATGTTCGCGGCCCAGGTTTCTATCTGGCGCCAAGTTTCAATCAAGCCATGGCACTTACCAATGCGCCCTGGCCTGCTTTGGGGGTTTTGAGGGGACTTATGCTTTGGCGCAGATTCTGTTTCGGATGTTATGGTTTGGGGAAGGGGAGGGGGGTGTTCGGATCTAGAATCGTTTGAGGTTTGGGGTCCCCATTGCCGCCCAAGAAACAAAGAGACACCGGAGACACCTGTCGAAAGAAGCTTGAGAAGGCTTGCCAACAAGCCTGGCTAGGTAGGCCCTTGGGACATTTTATATTTTCCCTTATTCATATTCAGGAATATTTTCCAGGGGGTTTTAGGGGCCATCCTAGCTGGTATAGTAGACCCCTGGACCATCCCTTGGCCCCCCTGCGGTTCAGGGGTTGAGGGTTTTTAGGGCTTAGCGGTTTAGGGCGGCAATGTTCGCAGAGGTACAGTTCCGGCACTATTTTCTAGGGAGTGCCATTGGCCTGGTGCCCATGACGCTACTCGTGACGTTACTGTGTCTCGGCATAGCAGCCATACGTGTTATGCTGTTTCTCTCTTGGGTATAGGCACTCTTTGGTAAACCAATCCAGCATACTCATCTGATGTAAGTCCACATCCCCACCCAAAAAAGCTCAAGCAATTTGATGGGTAAGTACCTTAATCGCCATCTGGGATTGGGCAGGGATACTCTGCAGGAATCTCTGTCGGGTCCTCCAGAAACTCTACAGGATTCTCTTGGGGGTGCCCGATCCCTTGTGGGACCCCCCGGACTGCCCCGAAACTAAAGCAACTTTAGGTAGCATGGGGCCTGACACAAGAATTGAGGATGAAGGTGAGGGATCGAGAATCCTCTGCCTCTGTCAGGGCAGGCGAGACAGGTTGCCAGTTACGTTCCGTGATGACTGCCATGGTTGCCAAGGCTGCAAACCTTGATCGACCACGGCATTGTATGATGCCTTGGGAGATTGCGCAGGGCTCCGTGGATTCCCCTTTGAGGTAGTAGCCCAGAAGCCGAAGCCCCCCGCCCCCCCTAACCAAGGATCTTATCGTGGTGGAGCATATACAGGGCAGAGATTTAGTTCGGGGAATCCCAAGTGGGTCGAGAACAGAATGAGACCTCTTTGAACAGTCTTTGCAGTCAGCTGCTCCACATGCGAGCAAGTGGACGGCCCGCAAGCGTGGATCAAACGATGACCGGAAGCATGATTCAAGGCAGTTGCGATTTCTGCATACATGTATCTAAAGACAAGAGCATATATGTATATGTAGCACAATCAAAAAATGACAAATAGTTTGAAACACTATGCATATATATATATATATATATCTATATCGCATGCCATATGTGATATATATATATATATACACATAGAACATCTATATGTATATATACACACGTATTGATTTATATCTATACAAATATATACAAATCTATACACATCCTCTGCTATGCGCATTGGGCGTCTCTCCGTGCACCCGGGCATCAAACAGAGCCGAGCCTTTTAGGCAGCTGGTCGGATGCCTCGTGCACGGCAGACGTTGAGGGTTGATTACCCTAAACCCTAAACCCTAAACCCTAAACCCTAAACCCCAAGCACCTCGTGATTCACACCCCTAACGCTGTAAGCGCCATGATCCTATGAGCCAATGGACTTCAAGAGACCCAAAGCGGCCGTACGCGCCCTGGAAGCCCCCTCCCCAAAAGAAACAGCCCAACGTAGAGAACCTGAGACTCCGATCCTCGACACTAGCCGGGAATTCCCGTGGATGCCCGTCGCCCGTGAACCCAAAGCCCAGCAAAGCGTAGAACTTGCAGCACAACTAGGCGGTAGCTTCTACCGCCTCAGCTTATGACGAGTTCCTTTCAGATTGGTGGCTATTGCTTGCAGGATAGAAGTCACAATGCGAGGGTCTTGGTGGGGCAGTGGCTGTGTTGGACCCCAGGAATTCGTCATCTGTGCCGAATTCGAACTGGCTGAGAGCTGAGAGTCAGAGGAGCCCGGTGACAAGGCAGCGATGTGGGCAGAGACGTGTCCTACACACGCTTCTGAGTGGCCGGTTCAACGAGCGACCTCGCCAATCTATGGGTTTAGGGTTTAGAGTCTAGGGTTGAGGGTTTAGGGTTTAGGGTTTAGGGAGATTGTCCTAGCTGTGTTGTGTCATGTGCTGGCAGTTCAAAGGGATGCTATCGGCCGGCTCGCCCCAGCTTCTCAGCCAGATTGCGGTAGTGTAGCACCCCCAGTGGGCTTAGACTCGCTGGGATCAGGCGCGTCAAGCGCGACTCGCTCCTAGACCCAAGGAATTTACAGTCAAAAGGCTTCGGCGAAGGCATGTGGCTGATCTTGGTTCGAAGCACCCAAGAGACAACACCGCTTTCTGTAGCCCGATAGTAGAACATCTATATATAAACCCTTCAGGCATCGCGAGCCATAGGTCCCTAAACCCTATAAACTCTAAACTCAACCTGAAACCCCAAATTAAGTGAACTGCCAGGAAGAGTACAGCCAGCTGTCGCGTGTTCTTGCCGCCCTCAGTGGCACGGGCCGCGGTGGCCGCAGCCCGCCCGTGATGGCGCGGGAAGTCCCAGATATAGTAAGGATAATGAAATAGTAGTACCAAAGAATGAAATAGGAGTGTTCCTGTTCAGTGGCAAATTGAATTGTATCGAGTTAAGGCCTCCATGGCACATGCGGGTTCCATGGTATAGCTGAGCAGGCATAGAGACTTCTTGCACCTGAACCGTTTTCGATCACAAGGAGCCTAGAGCCCAACGTGCACCCGATTCGTCCGGTCCGAGAAGAGCTTCCTGCACCGGCCAAGTACCCCCCAAACTAAGTGCATCTAAGTGCCTTTGGCTAGGGAACAGAATACTTGCTGGGTCACCGGTTGCTAGGCCCCCTAAAACTCATGAAGCCTCTGATCCCCACAACTTCCCCCAAACCGCCCCCCCCCCCCCCCCCCCCCCCCCCCCCCCCCCCCCCCCCCACGAAAGCCTGAAGCCAGAGAACCCGAGGCTGACGGCCACCTGCAAGGAGGAGGTCCGCCACGATGTCATGAGGCCCCCGAGAGCTGAGAGCGAAGCAAGAAAAAAGCAAAAGCCTGGCAAAAACCTGCTAGGTAGTCCTTCGGTGTTTTTTGGTTTTTTGTTGCAATGCGAACGACGAGGCCACGAATCCGGAGATAGAGCCTGGGCAAGGCTCGCTAAAGCCTCAACCTTAAGTAAGCCCTACTCTGAGGTCTGCATAGACCCCGTCTTGGCAGGTCCCTAAGCCTGGAGGGTGCGGAGCATGTCATGGGAACGATGAACCGGCCGAAGCTTCGGCCGCATGTGGTGTTCGAGCAGCCGGGCTTGGATGCTCCAGGCCGGTTTAAGGCCTCGGGTGGGCTAAGAGTCCATAATAGGTATTTTCGTGCCCCCTGGTCATAGACCCGGTCATACCCGGGCAAACCCGGCATATGGTCATAGCCGGTCATGCCCGGTCATACCCGGGCATACCCGGGCATACCTGGTCAGAGCCGGTCATACCCGGTCATGCTCGATCATGCGTCCCGTGGCTTTTCGCAGTCGCTGTTTCCCGCCAGAGTGACAAAAGGACATCCCAAGTTTCGGGTGTGGAAGTTTGAGACCTGCCCTGGGACCCCCCTGGGACCCCCCCTGCGACCCCCCTGCGACCCCCCCTGAAAAGTTCAATGGAGCAGTTTGGGATACAGTTTCAGTCAAAGGAAGATTTCGGAGCCTATAAAAAGCGTGCCCCTATCATATAAGAGGTTGCGGTTGGGTCGGTGAGTGGCTGGTGAGTGGCATGTGAGGCACATGTGAGGGGATGTCTCGGGGAAGAGCAAATGAGAAGCTTGTAAGGTCAAAAAGGGCTGCGGCTTGGCTATCCTGTGTAAGCATGTTTTTGCGTCGACCCTGTTTTTGAGTAAGCTCTCGTGAGAATTCAACCCGATCCAGGGTTAGTCAGGGCCCCGTTTTTTTGTCAGTCGAACGGGCGCAGCATTCGTCACGCAAGCTCTCGTCGCTCGAACTCCAAGACCAGGCCCGCAGAAGGCTCGAAGCAGCCAGAGGCCCGTAAGTGGCTCGCGAATGGCTCTATATAGGCTTGTAAGTGGCGCGAAGGCCCATGAGGGGCCCGTAAGTTCGCAAGGGGCCTGAGCGGTAAGCGGCATGTAAGTGGCATGTAAGCGGCACGTAAGTGGCCGTAAGTGGCGCGTAAGTGGTAAGTGGCACGTAAGTGGCACGTAAGCAGCCCGCAAGTTGCCAAGGGTCCCCGTAGGAGGAACGTGTTGAAGCCCGCACAAACCTGTGCAGGAGACCCGTGCAGCATCTGCCAAAAAACACCAGAACTTAGAAGTCAGGCAGCCTGCTCTTAGCCTCTCCCTGAAAAACACCAAAGGTTACGTACTCTCCTTACCCACACGACCTGATCTTACATAGCCTCTCCTTGAAAAACACCTAAACTTACATACTCTCCTTACCCAAGGGACCCGATCTTATGTGATAGGGGCACGCTTTTTATAGGCTCCGGACGCTTCCTTTGATTCAGGTATCACAACATTCACAGCAGTGAGCAATTCATCAGTCACACTTGTTTCAGCACTTGAACCTTGAGCCAAAGCAGTGACGACAGCTTTGGTCAGATCAGGCAGTGGATACTGCCAGGGCTCTAGAGGGAACAGTGTATTCTAACACAGTCCCTTGAGTCAACACTTCAGTGTTCGACTCACATCAGTCGTCTCGGCCATTGCGAGAAACTTAGTAGCAGTATACTGACAAATCAATACCATCACATATTGCAGTAAACTCATCCAAAGCAGCAGTAACGAATCAGGCTCATCCAGTGCTTTTGCTTTCAAATTGCGAACAGTATCAGCAGCAGGCCTGTACAGTGCTGCTAGGTCTTGCTTCAGCTTTGCAGCTCGCAAGACAGTCACCAAGACCAGTGAGCTGTCGGCAGTTGCAGCTTACTTTGCGACCAAGCCAGTTTCAAGGGCTTTGAGCTTCAGTGACTCTGCAGTCACTCATCTTCTTCAGTCGGAAAGGGTCCCCAACTCAGAGGCCAGTCTAATGTCAGTGACATGGCATGAGTGGATACCCCCATCGACTATCTGCAGTTCACTGCAGTATCTCACTCCGCTGGCGAGACAGTGATTGAGACTTGATGCTCAGT